CAGCAGCATTAACCCGGATAAATTATAACCCAACGATGCATATTGCACTCGAGTGGCCCAGCCATCATTCGCGATGATAAGAAATAAATCCGTCATGATTCCTTCCACGATCAAATAGAGCAACACTGCACGCTGATAGTTTGAAGCCCCATGAGCAGATAAACGCAGACTCTCCTGGACAAACACCACGGCTTGCTCCTGACTGATTGTTTCTCCTAATTCGTCACATCTTCGACCGTAGCGAGTGCTCATGACGTAGCTTCTACGGATCATTAAAGCACGATAAACCAGCCAGATCGCACCGACGATGCCATACCAGTACGATACCCTGGACTTCGTACTACCCGTATCTTCCGCTAAGAACGAACCGTTAATATCGTACGAGCCAAGAACATCCACTTGAATGTACGATAATTTGTCGTTGGCACAATATGTGCCCGTCTCTCCTTCGTAGAACGAGTAAAATCCGATGCTGGCGTGGTAAAAGTACACGTCGAATGGAAAGCTGTCGTTCTCACAACTGGATGGAGAAGTATGATGTGGAGCAACTTTAGAGCTCCCGATGAAGTAATTTCCGTGTGTGTTGTATTGTGGTACAACAGCGTGGCAAATGGTGCCATTGTCAGTGAGATAGTAGTGTGTTGGTTCAAAGTTCCACCAGACTCCAGCCAGCACAAACGCTTCCACAGGGCAAACTTTCGTTATATTTGAGATTTCTTTTTGCTGATCTTGAGGTACGGCGAGGATTTCGGACATCTTGGTTGGTCGGACGAACTGTGTGTAGCTCCGAATTTGCAGCGTGAGAGGTATGACACCCATGATTAACCAAGCTACTAGCAGCATTCGCTGCGCAGTCAACCACCGGGCACATGTTCTTGGAATTACAGGCGTGTGGTAGATTTCCTGCACAGTTCCAGTCAGTCGTGGTAACATCGCCGACACGATTCCAAAAACACACTGGGTCACTGACAAATAGCTTTGCAACGGACTGAAACGTTTCAAGGCAATTTGAAATAGCCCTCCTAAACCTTGCTTAATTAATGGTTGGGAATCCCACGAAAGCAAAAAAAAATAATGTCCAATTTGAAACCCTCTATCCTGTACATGAATTCTCTGCTGCCAAAACCTACGACTCCGCGGTTTTGGCTCGCAGTTTAGCTTTCTTTTCGACTTCCAATGATACGCGAAACTTGTAGCACCGCCAAAGGTGCTGACCATACTCAAAACTCGATTTTCATTATTACTGTTTGAACTGTTGGCACCCGTCGCTCGAAAGGAAACAGATTCTGTCGTGTGCACGCAGCATGCGCATAGAGGTAATCAATCAATGGCCACCAGACAACGTTTCTATTAGGAGTAGCCTACAGAATCTGCAGGACTCTTGAGTTACTTCAACACAAATAGAGGATCTCTGAACAACCTGATAGAGATAATCAATCCAGCGTATACTAACAGGACGGTGAGCTTTTCACTTATTTCGCTGCGCCTCCGATTCAGAAAAAAAGAAGCTCCAAATATTCATCACATCGCGAAACATTAGGCTGATTGCGTACTGCCGGTCTTATGCCAAGGACAGCAAGTTGATATCGTGCATCCCAGGAACTATTACAGCGACAAAAAAACACAGTCCGTCTTTGAAGTAGTCCCACGCAATTACTTTGCAAGCCCAGCTTCAGTTGCAAATATTTCCTCATTTCCTCTCCAACGCATAGTGACAATTTATCCGAAGGCATGTTCTAGTCGCCTGATCTGCAAGTTGAAAGGTCCAGACCGCATTATGCGCAATTTTTCATGCGCTTTGAGCGAGCGTTCTGCTGCGATAACTCGCTAGGTTCAGCCTCAGTTGTTGATAATTTGTCATTTGTCATACGTTCCAAAAGGCAACTTCAACTTGCAAATGGCTACATTGCGCACTTCTGTTTTCCGTTTGCCATTCGCCAATCTTCCGTCGACCGCGCAAGCAACGACCTTCACTCCTTCACTCATGGTTGGGAAACCTCGCAAGAGTCTATCTGCCAGTGCCAGCGCCGAGACCAAAGCGCCACGCGGGAAGCGCAGTGCCAGCATCAGTGAGCAGCAGGAGGCCATCGAAACGACGGAGCCGCCCACGAAGAAGATGGCATTGATGGAAGACAACGAAGAGCCGGGGCCAGAGCCGACGGGACAGCAAGTGGCTCGCTTAGAACTGAAGATCCAGGAGTTGGACGCGGAGAACGAGCGACTGAAGGAGCAGGTGGAGAAACTGCAGATGGAGCAAGCCGACTCGAAGCCCAAGAAGAAGGCAACAGCGAAGGCGCAGTCCAAGGTCAAGCCGGCGTCTGCCAGAGCTCAGTTCAAGAGGAAGTCGGCCAAGGCCAAGCCCGCGAAGGCGTAGACAGAGAGAATCGACTTGGGGATGACCCAGCCCTTTGTCGCCTGGGGTGATGCACGCAGCTTGGATGACGCGAGGTTCTCATCCCCCAGTAGTTGTATCCGTGCTACATCCTTCGTCCATAATCGCTTTAATCTTCACCTCGCGCTCGATGAATTGCGCTTGCACTCTGTGCTGGACCAAGTTGAAGCCTTTGTCCTGCGATTCTTCGATCACCGAAATGTCTGCTATAATGCGTTATGTACTACCGCCGTGGCCACCTCTAGCAGATTACTGCGCCTCCAGCTACATACCTTGGCTGTGCGTGATCTGGTCGTTGATAGTATGACCCTCAACCTACTGCCCAGCGCTTGGCACCCGACGTCGCATACTTGTGAACCCACTGCAGAACACGCGTAGGACTCTGCAAGTGGCTCCATGACCAGCGCTGCTGTGCAAGAAGAAAAAGAAGAAGTCAAGAGCGAGCGCCTAGACGGACACGACGCGGACGGAATGGCGATAGCTTCATCGACGCAAAGTCTCCATACGTTGCAGTTGCCACACGTCGCAGACCACTTAGATTGGAGGAAACCCACTGTATTCCCAGTCTTTTCATCCAATCAGTCGCTCTGTCCACTTTTGCAATTCTCAAAACCGCCACAATCAAAGTCTCCCCTCAGTTTTCGTCTTGTCGTGCACTGCAACGCGGCGGAAGAAGGGAATCCCAGAGTCGCCGCAGAGAGAGAGAGAGAGAGTCGGAGAGAACGGAACCGACCGCCCCGTAGTCACTAGAGACAGAGATGTCGGGCAAGCCCCGCGTGGAGATGGTGCCGTCCAGCGCGCTGCCGTCCTACGACCGCTTCCAGCGGCACAGCGCGGCGCCCGTGAACGAATCCAACCTGAGTATCGCCCAGCGCCTCGTGCTGGAGAACAAGAAGCGCGCGCAGAACTCGGCGCGACGTCGCAACACGCAGGAGGTGGTGGCTGCGCTGCAGCACACGCCCGTGGAGGTCGGCGCGCACATCTGGATCCCCGACCCGGAGCGCGTGTGGCGCGTCGTGGAGATCGTGCGCTACGAGCCGGCCGAGGACCCGGAGCAGGGCATGACTCTGACTGTAAACGGCAAATTCGGCCAGGAGAAACTCGATATGCGCGACATTGGCGACCTGTACAAGGTGAACCCGCGCGTGGTGGACGACATGACGAGTCTGTACTACATCCACGAGGCTGGTATCCTCGAGAACCTGTACGTGCGCTCCAAGATGGACAATCTGCGGCCGTACACGCTCATGGCCAACGTGCTGATCGCTGTCAACCCGCTGGTGCGCACAGTGGAGCCCAAGGTCACGGACTACATCAAGACGCAGATGGGGGACCGTCCGCCGCACCCGTACGCTATCGCAGAGGTGGCTTTCCAGCAAATGGCGCTGCGTACGCCCGCCCAATGCCAGTCCATCGTCATTTCTGGCGAATCAGGAGCTGGTAAGACGGAAACGTCCAAGATCGTGCTGCGTTACTTGACGTCACGGGAACATTTGGCGTTTACCGCGGGCAAGGGCAACGACGCGCAGCAGGACATCGCGCTGGAGCTGGACAAGCGTCTGTGGGACACGAACCCCATCCTGGAGGCCTTCGGTAATGCCAAGACGCTGCGTAACCACAACTCGTCGCGTTTCGGCAAGTTCATGAAGCTGCAGTTCAAGCCAGGCGAGAACACGCTCACTGGCGCCTTTATCGAGACGTATCTGCTGGAGAAATTCCGTGTGGTGGCGCAGATCCCGGGGGAGCGGAACTTCCACATCTTTTACTTCCTGTTGTCCGGTGCAGACCAGACGTTGACGAAGGAGCTGAAGCTGGAGCCGGTGAACAACTTCGAGTACCTGAACCAGAGCGGCTGCGTGTCTGACCCGAATGTGGACGACGAGATCTTGTTCGATGAAGTGGCGAGTGCGTTGGGCTCGGTGGGGATCGACACGACGCTGCAGAAACAGGTGTGGACGGTGCTGTCCGGTTTGTTACATTTGGGTAACATTCGCTTGAAAGACCGCGAGACGGCTGAGGGTGACGCTGGAGAGGTGACGCCCGAGGCGCAGAAGTACGTGGCGTCGTGTGGTGAACTGCTGGGAGTGGACAGTACCAACCTGCTGCATGTGATCACGACGCGAGAGATCTCGACGCGTACCGAGAACTTTACCATTAAACGCACCGCCAAAGAGGGAAGCTACGTGCGTGACGCTATCGCCAAGTCCATCTACAACCACCTGTTCAAGTGGATCTTGTACAAAATCAACAGCTCTCTCGGACACGGAGACAGCTCGCTGCCGTTCATCGGAGTGCTGGATATCTTCGGCTTTGAGTCGTTCGAAGAGAACGACTTTGAACAGCTGCTGATCAACTACGCTAACGAGGCTCTACAGGCCACGTTCAACCAGCAGGTGTTCATTGCTGAGCAGGAACTGTTCGCTGCGGAAGGTATCGAGGTCGGCAAGATCGTGTGGCCCGATAACCGCGAGTGTATCGACTTGATCTCGCAGAAGCCGAACGGTATTTTACCGCTATTGGACCAGGAGGCCAAGATGCCCAAGCCGTCGGATGAGAAGTGGAACGCCACGTTGCACAAGACCCACTCGAGCCACCCGCACTTCCTGCCGCCGCACGAGAAGGACAAGAAGTACGAGTTCATCGTCAAGCACTTTGCCACACGTGTTCCCTACACGATTGGTAACTTTATTGACAAGAACAACGACACGATCCCCAAGGATCTCGAGGACTTTGTGACGTCCAGCAAGTCGTCGCTTATCAAGGAGCTGTTCTCGTCCAAGCTGGACGTGGACACCAACACGAGTCAGCTGCACAAGCAGAGCGTGTCGGCCAAGTTCTGCGACCAGATGCAGGAGCTCACGGACACGCTGAACGCCACGCGTTGCAACTTTATCCGGTGTATCAAGCCCAACCCGACCATGTCTCCTGGCGTCTTTGACCACGGCTACGTCGTGGACCAGCTGCGTTGCTCTGGTATGTTGGCTACGTGTGAACTGCTCAAGGTTGGTTTGCCTACACGTGTGGCGTACGAGGAGATCTGTCGTATCTACAAGCCTGTACTGCCGCCGTCCGTCACGCCGATGTTCAACGCCTACAACGACCGCACGTTCACGGAAGCTGTGCTGTGGTCGTTCCGTGTGGAGCCTGACGCCTACCGTCTGGGTCGCACCAAGGTGTTCTTCAAGACGGGCAAGATTGCGCTACTGGATGCGCTGTTGAAGGTCGACATGAAGAAGATGGGGCCGTGGATCGTCGCTCGTCTGCGAAAGTGGCTGGCACGTCGTCGCTGGCGTTATGCGCTGGCCAAGGTGCTCGCCCAACGTGCGTTCCTGTGGCTACTGGAGGACACTAGAAGACGCAAGGCGGCTATCGTTAAGATGCAGGCTGTGATGCGTATGTTTGCCGTGCGCAAGCAGTTTATCCGTGCTCGTAACGCGCACCGCCATAAGATGCGTCGTAAAGTTCTTGCCCAGAAGCACTGGAAGATGGCGATTGGAGGCGTTCGCGCGTCTAATGCCTTCAAGAAGCTGCTGGACCAGACTCGTCAGCGTATGGCTGCTAAGCACGCCGAGCAGAACGCTGCCGCTGTGAAGATCCAGTCGATCGTACGTGGCAAGTTCGGCCGCAAGCAGGCAGACAAGCGTCGCGCTCAAGTGGAAGACGAGAAGATGCGCAAGAGACTGGCAGATGAAGCGGCTCGTGCTGAGGCGGAGAAGAAGAAGTCGGCCAAGAAGCGCTGGTTGACTGCGTTCTACGCCATCCAGGCTCAACGTCACTTTGTGCAGCGTTTACAGCACGTCCGCAAGGCTCGTCTCGCTGTGGAGGAGGCTCGACGACTTGCTGCCGAGCAGGAACAGCTACGTCTTCAACGTGAGGAGGAGGAACGCCAGCGTCGCCTTCAGGAGGAAGAGGAGGAACGCGAGCGTCAGCGCCAGTTGGAGCTCAAGCGCGCCGCTGCTGCTACTTCAATTCAGCAGGCTTATCGTCGCTCTGTCGGCCGCGAAGAGGCCAAGCGCCAAGCTGCGGTGGAACGCGCCCAGGCTGCTTCTCTCGCTGCCGCCATGGCTGCTCAGGACGCCGCTGCTGCCGCTCAGGACGCGTCCCTTGCACACGACGCTGAGGCTGCTGCTCTGCGTAAGCTGAACGCTTATGACGAGGCGCAGCGCAAGGCTGCGATGGCCGGCACTCTGGGAACTGCTCCTGCTCTTGGAACGCTTGGCGTCCACGGCGTGGCTGGCAACGGACCGGCCACACTGGGCTCCGTGCAGCCGCTACAGGCTTCTGCTGGTCAGGCCGGACAGATTGGCGCTGTCGGATCGATGGGCGTGGCCGGCGCTATGGTGGGACAGGAGTCGCTGCAGAATGCCGACATGAGCTGGGTGGCTGGAGAGAACGCCAAGATCGAGGGCGAGGGCGTCGCCGGTGATGCTCTGCGCCAGGAGCAGCTCGCACAGGCCGGCCGTGACCTGTTTGGTGAGGGCGGCGAGGCTCCTGCTGGTCCCGTAATGTCCGCTGACGACGAGAACTTGATCAACCCCGTGGAGAAGATTCAGGAGTTCCCCACGGGTCCGCCGATCCCGTACAAGGGCGGTATTCTCACGTGCACGATGTTGGGTCATCGCAAGCAGCAGGACCAGAACTGGGGCGACGAGTACACCGAGTACGTGCTGCGTGTGACCTGGGGCCGTGACATTCTGGAACAGTCCAAGACGGCGTGGCTTGTCGGCGGTCGCTACAATGACTTCAACGCGCTTCACCAGGAGCTCAAGGCTGCTGCATCCGGTCGTCGTGGCAAACGTGCGCCGTGGTTCCCGCGTTTCCCCAAGCGCCATCCGTTCTCGTCGATGATCGGCAAGAACCAAGAGGAGAAGTTTATCATCAAGCGTGAGAAGGAAATGAACCGCTACATGACGCAAGTGCTGACGCAGATGCCCGACGCGCTGCTGAACATCCACATGGATCGCTTCCTGAACCTCACGCTCCGTACCCAGGACATTTGCGAGCGTGAGGCGTACGCTGAGGCTCGTAAGCGCTGGGAAGAAGAGGAACGCGAGGCGCTGGCCAACGCTGCTGACGCTGAGCCGTTGAACGACGCCGACCTACAGGAAGTGGAGCAGTTGGTGCACCAGCTACTGCAGAAGATCATCTACGCTGCTGGAGACGTCCGTCAAGACACGGAGCTCCAGGAAATGATCCACGCCGTCAAGGTGTTGCAGCCGCGTGTGGCCGCCTCGGCCCAGATCGGTGGCAATGTCAACATTGAGCTCATTCCGCTGGCCATGCAACTACAGGACGACATCCAGGACGCCTTCAACCAGTACAACGACACGTTGCTGGCGCTGCGACTGGGCCAAGACCTCAACTAAAAGCGTCTCAGTCGGCCGTGTGTGTGGGGAACTTTTTCGTTTTCTCCTTTTTACAAACTTGACAAAATTGTGCATGTTGCAAAAATGAGAACTGGTCTCGATCGAAGAGATCGGTTCTCCGCCTTGCACACACGACAATCACTCCGTCTTAGTTTTTGCTTTTTTTTTTTCATAACATGACAATTTGAATAGACGAGATGTGAAAAAGGGTTTTACGTTTCCGTTTGTTGCAAGCCTTTAAACCCTTTGGCAACCAGGAACATTTCCGTCGACTCTGGCCGTGACGACTGGGGCTTCATGGCTTTAACCACGTCAAAACTTGCCTTTAAGTCTGCTCGGAACTCCTCGGAGCCATCACAACGCAGGATTTTCGTGGCAAAGTTGCCTCCTGGACGCAAATAAAGTTCTGCCATCTTGAGTGCGTTGTGGCAAAGTCGCAATTGGTGCTGACTGTCCGTGAGGAAATTGCCCGAGAATGACGGGGCCATGTCGCTGAGTACCACGTCGGCTTTGCGGCCTCGTAAGGCCTCGCTCAGTTGTTTGCGGACTGCAGCCTGACGGAAATCCCCCACTACGATGGACGCGCCTTCGATGGGGTCAAAATGCAAGAGATCCACGGCCACAACACGCGGTGGGCCGTCGGACTTTTGGCTTTTTGGAGCTGTGGCCTCCACCGCCACTTGTGTCCAGCCGCCGGGAGCTGCACCCAAGTCCAGAACCAAATCGCCTCGACGCAGTAGCTGGAAGCGCTGCATTGAGTAAAAATATTAAGGAGTGTGCATTGCAATTGAATTGGAGTTAGTGCAGACGTACGTCGTTGAGCTCGCGTAGTTTGAAGGCTGCTCGGGAGCGGAGACCCTCGCGTTTGGCCTGCTTCACAACGGGATCGCTCCACTGTCGACGCACCCAGCGCGCGCTGGCATTCGACTTGCCCTTGAGGCTCTTGACGGCGCGTAACGGGGCGAAGTGGCAGCCCAATAGTGACCCAGAGCGGATGACCATGCTGCTCATTTTTGTTGAATGACTCGTTGCAAGAAGGGATACATTTAGACGGGCTGATTTACATTTGTCCACTTACATACACCAAGTGTAATGGATACCTACACAAACTGTTAGAGATTTAATTGTTTTGAATAGGTATTGGATGTAGCCATGCACGAAACGACGCGAGCTCAGTCGATCAAGGGGAGCTAACAAGATGCCCGTGCTGAGGACGAACCACGAGTCGATGCTCCAAGAAAATGCCGAAAAGGCTGCTCAGTTTAATGCTAGTCGAAGGTCGAAGCAGGTTCAGGACGACGATGACGAATCGGACGACGAGGAGGATGCAAAACTGGAAGCGAGACGCTTACGAGTAGCCATCGCTGAAGCCACAGAAGCTCGAGAGGAACTACAGCAAAGAAATATCAAGTCAGTTGTGGTAGTACAGGATAACCACCACGTTTCTAGCCTTTAAATCGTTGTCATGTTTTGTACTTGCAGACTCCAACGTCGCATTGCAGCCCATCTACAGAAAACCCAGGAGAGTAGTCCAGCTACTGCAGGAGCAGACGCAGTAGGCTCTGCTGGGAGACGAGAGGATAAAGCCAATGCCAGTGAGAACGCCAAGAGGTATCTCGAGTGTCTACGTAGTGTCCACGAAGCCAAGGTACAGATGGCGACAGCTCAGTCTCAATACGACAAGGTGGCTTTGGAGCTACAGGCTCGACTGGACGAGAAGGAAGCCAAGGTGACAGAGATCCAGGACGCTTTCCTCGAGTTCAAGAGAGAGGTGGCTAGAAACGCTGAGAACTTGAGAACAGGCAAGCCAATTGCTAAGCGAATAATCGCCCAGTTTGAAGCTGCAGAGCTTAGAAAAGACCAAGACGTCGAGAAGGTCCGACTGAAACACATTAATCTACGCACGCATCTTAAGAAACTAGAGCAACAGCTGCACGCCAAAGAACAGCTCGCTGAGGGTCTTCATCTTATCGATTTTGAGCAACTTAAGATCGAGAACCAGACGCTGAATGAGAAGATCGAAGAGCGCAACGAGGAGCTTCATAAATTACGGAAGAAAACAACGAGCACAGTGCAGGTGCTGACTCATATCAAGGAGAAGCTCCAGTTTGTATTGGCCGAGAATCAAATGCTCAAACGAGATTCACAGGAGCTGGAGGAGGCTCTGACTGCCAATCGAGACCAACTCGCACACAAAAAGAAAGATAGGGACGCCACGCGACAACTGGCTGCTCGACTGAAGAGTAAGGACGGGTTTGCCAAGTCTGAGCTGCTTATCGAAGACTTTGATAAACGGGAAACTGACCTCGTGGACCTCGAACGACGTCGCGCTGAGCTCGTTCAAAGACACACTTATCTTACCAAACAGATCAAACAAGCTGGTAAGATAACTAAATAGCTTACAATTTAGTGGCTATTGCAGCTTTTAGTATTCGGCCCACTACAGCAACTTAAGCTTCAGCAATCTCGATTCAAGGGATTTCAAGCTGGTCTTTTGTATCGCTCGGAACCTCCTTGTACTCCTTCAACTTTTTAAGTTGCACTGAGGTGGCAGTAGTCGATAAATTCTCGTCATTATCGCTGCTCGTATCGCTGACTGGAGACGTTTCCTTCTCAGTCACAACTTGCGCTAGTGGATGATGATACAGATACATGGAGATGACGAGTATGCCAAGTCCGCAAGCAAACTCCAGTGACGGCGAGAAGGCAAAGAAAATCATTGACAAAAGCGTCGTGAACATCATGGCAATCGAGTGAGAGTACACACAGGCAATATTATCCAGATATTTGAGGATGCAGGCCATGAAAATCCCTCCAATGGAGTTCACGATGATAACGACCACCGTCCAGCCACTGTAGCCGTGAAAGAATCCCTCCGTTAACAACGATTTCCCATCCACCAGTACCAGGCCTAGAGCGTTAAACAACACACCGAAGCCATACATCTGCACGCTTTGCCACAAGAACTGACAGCCCGACTGCCGCTTCAACGTCCACTCGGCAAAGACACTCGCACAGGACGACAACGTCACGCCAACGAGAGCTAGACACAAGCCGAGTGCCATATACTGCGAGTCTTTGGATGAGTTGCTATTCATTACTCGAAAGCGGTCGGATTGGCTGGTCAACACACCCAGGATGAGCAAAACAATTGCCATTTTGTGCAGCTCTGAGAGTGGGTGCTTGAGGACGTAGCGGAATAGCACAGCGGTCAATAGAATCTTCAAATTCCAGAGCACCGAGGCCGTCGCAGCGTCCAGATAGCGCAGCACGACGTAGTTGAGATTGCTCTCAAGAGCGCTTAATAGCGCTGGGACCGCATAGTAAAAGCTTTTGTGCAGATGCAGGTGATCGGGGGTTGTCGTGTCAGTCATGACGATAGCGGCAAACATGGCGGTGAGCTTGAAAACTTCAATGAGGAACGTGACCGTGACGCTGCTGTAGGGGACGAGGCCGTCGACTTTGGACGCGATGATGCATAAATTCCCAGAGCAAAGGAAGGCCGCGGCCACCAGCATTAACGCCAGCTTTCGTCCGAGCTCCATCGTTCTTAGAGAGAATTATGGGAAAAGTGTCAGTGTCGGATCATCCAGTTAGGCATTCAACCAACTGTAAACAGCAGAGGGAGTGACAATTGGAAGTTGCCTTTCGATGGTCGAATGGAGCAACGTACCACCTTTCACAATCGGTGTTCTCTTCATTCGAACCGTGCCACCCAAAGTTCTGCATCTAGCTTAGCCCCACGTTGATACCAGCAGCCCGAAGATGCTAGATTTGGGTAAGCTTGTCACCATGAATATCACCTTCTTGCTTGTGCCCCCTTCACTGCGGTTTTGTAGCTTACAGTATTTCCTTCTGACCTGCATTTCTCCATTTGCGGTTAATCGAGTTGATTTGAGCATCGCTTCTCGACTTCTTCCGAAGTGAACAGGGTTGGCTCAATTTTGTGTAATAGAGGTTACGTTTTCCTATGCGTGCACGATATTGGTGGGCATTGAGCTATTGGCATTGCTCTCGACCTTTTGTCGTTGATCATCTGAGGCTCTTAACTGACCGTTAGAATCTCGATCGAGCTGATTAATTGCGGGTAACTTTAAATGATTTATTACTTAAGTACAGTGCTGCTATTATCTATAGGGACACTAAAGATTTTGTTGTTCTACTCGCATTACGCGGAATTAGATCATGCAACTCGGTCTAAAGCTGACTTACACAATGACTGACAACTGGCAGACACGAGTTTTAAAAAAATATGCGTATTGCAAATTCTAAAGTGAAATTGCCATTTTAGGGGGTGTTCCTATCTATAGGGACACGAGTTAGAAAGTGGTCTATTTATCAATTGCACCGCCATTTTTGAGAACTACTTGCGCCATTCTTGTCGGCAAACCTTTCACGAGCCCTTGTAAGTAGCTCTGCTGAATTTTAGCCCAGCTTCGCACGATCTGCGCCTTCAACTCGTCTCTGGTGTCAAATTGACGCCCTCCTTCGTAGACAGACCATGCTAGCTGACCCCACACGTTCTCAACAGGGTTTAAATCAGGGCTCTTCGATGGCCACTTTAGCTTCCTAATGCCTAGCGCCTCAATATGGGCCTTAGTGAACCTAGATTCGTGGATTGAGGCATTATCTTGCTGGAAAATAGGCATCCCAATGCCATGGTTTTGGCGAAGGTTTTCGAGAAAGGGAAGCAAGTAGGTGTCCAGTGTGCTAGTGTAGCAGGCAGAGTTTTGCCTTCCCTCAAGGAATGCAATCTCAGTTTTTCCAAAGAAGTTCATGCCAGCCCACACCATTACGCTGCCGCCGCCGCTTGCGCGCTTCGAGAAGATTTCTTGGTCGTTCCGAATGTCGTGCCAATAGTATTGGTACCCGTCCGGACCGTCCAAGTTGAACTTCTTCTCGTCGCTGAAGAAGACGCGACGCCAGATGCGCGTTTTGCTTAGAAATTTGGCAGCAAATGCGGCTCTAGCCACCTTGTGGTTCGGCTTGATGGCCGGTGACGGTTTCCGCTTGATCCACTTGGCGATCGCCGACGAGTTAAGCAGCTTTCTGACGGTACTTGGGCGTAGTACGTGGCCGATTGCCTCCGAAATCCGTTTAGAAGATAGTTTTTCCACGGTGGCACGATCTAATTCCGCGTAATGCGAGTAGAACAACAAAATCTTTAGTGTCCCTATAGATAATAGCAGCACTGTATTTGTTTGTATGATTGAATCCTTTTATCTGCGACGTGTGAGCAGCTCCTTTTTGTGGTCCTTACAATCCAAAAGGGTTCACACGTCACACATCTTATTTACCTCGTAATAATGACTACCCTGATATCCCTAGTGACTAGTGACGTGTACAGTGATCGACTCGACGACTCAATCGCGACGATGCGGCGGCTCGTGCTGCCCGCTCTGGGGGCTCTGGTGGCCTCCTTCCTCTTCATCCAGCTACAAGCAGAGCCTCCTGACACTCCTGCAAGCGTCGAGCTTGAAGATCCCGTCCCCATTCTCACAGTAAGTGGCTTAAATGTCCATCATATCTTTAGAATATCAAATTCAGCACGTCTTAACTTTAAATTCTCGGTCTGCAGCAAGACGCGCTGCCTCAGACCAACACTCTGCTGGACCAGCTTCTCCCCTTAGACCCTTTCAACGTCTCAGATGTCGCCCAGCTCTTTACTCAGAGTCCAGACTGGGGAGCTATCGGTTCCTCCTTCGAAGACGCCGTCGTGGCCACATTCAAGTGCTTAAAACTATGGGGAACCTTCCTCCTGCTGGTATTAGTGCCAATACTTCAAGCTCTAGCGGTTGTGGGCGAGGCAGCGCTGCCTCACGTGCTCACGGTCGCCAAAATGGCAGCGGACTACGTGAGCAAGATGGATCCACTGCATCAAGCTCTTGTGGCTATTACAGTGCTGTTTATAGTCATCTGTATCCGCCAGGGATACGTGCACAAGGCGAGAGTCCGATACGTGCGCACTAGACGGTCGCTGGAGCTGAGATACCGAGCTTTCGTGGCCAGTTTAAGTGCCAAATGGCGCGTCGTGGCCATTCTGCTGCCTCATTTTCTGTTCTTTGCACTGAGCTATGAGGCGCTGTATTGGCTGCCCACGTCCTCGATGGATGTGCTAAGTAGTGAAGCTCTCTTTGGTCTATTATCCGTCGGGTATCCACTGCTACACTCCATCGGAGTGATCCGACAAAAGAGACTGTACCCGAAACGTACCAAGACACCCGCGTCCAGACCAGGAATCACAAGCGAGTTGATAAAGAAATTTGAGAAGATCAGCATCCCAGACTACGAGTGGAGAGCGTACGAAGCGTGTTTGAAGTACTGGGTCCTCTGGTCGCTAGCAGTCTGTGTGATCGGTATGGTGACGCTCTTCTTACCAGCTTTTGTGACCTCGTTCTTCACTGTTCCGCTGCATTTCTGTAATATTTTCCTCATTTGGATGCACTCTCCGTTCACTCGAGGCGACATCGCGCTCTACACGTGGCTGAGTCCGCTGGTTAGTCCGTACGCTAACCGGATACATGAACGTGAAGCCACAGTGAATCCAGAAGCCGAAGAAAAGACGAACTTCTTGATCCGGATACTGGTATCGCTCCGTGTGGTGCCAGAAAGACACGTTTACTTAGCGAAGGATTTGTGGTCACAGGGCCCTGCGCTCTTCGGGCTGATCTTCATGTTCACACCAGGCTTCGTGGCCTCTCGAGGGTGTTCGTTGATGGGATTTGGCTTCCCCGCCTACGTCACGATTGGAGTGCTAGGCGAGAAGCGGACACGGCGCTATGAGTGGTGGATCGCTTACTTTAGCGTAGCGGTGACTGTGGACTACTTGATCACTGCGATCGGACGAGAGATCGGCTGGCTTCCGCTGTTTTACCACGCGAAGTTGCTTGTGATGATGTGGCTCCAATTCCCGTATTTCCAAGGAGCGGAACGAATTTTTAACGCATGCTTTTCAAGTGTCTTCATTGTGCCAGAAACCAAAGACGAATGAATGGATTTATCTTCTGACTATGAATTTTTGAAGATAAAGTATAACCTGAATATGCTAAAACGCTTCAAGTGTCAAATTTAGAGTTCCTTGCTCGCTATTGTTAGGGTGTCAGTCGCTATTCAAAAATAGCAACTGTCAAGGACCCCTTTTAAGGGGTCCTTGATAGTTGTGGTTGGCTTGGCAAGTGGAAACGAATTGACATTGTGTGAACGTGCCAGACAATGCGAGGAGGTCGATCGAGGCCTCGTGACTATGTCTACAGCTTACCAGATACCGCAAGCTTTCAAGAACCGTCGGTGCATCATGGGAAAATGCGTACTACTACTGAAGACACAGCAGTTGACATCGTTCTAGGAGTTTCTGCCGAGACTGTCCATGCGATCACAGTGCAGCAGAACAAGATGATGTTCCAGTCTCCTCTTAGCGTTATGAAGGAGATTGTATGGGATTATAGTGAAAAGTCTGTACACTTTGTTCTGGACGATGGCGCGATATCCCCAACGTTCGTCTTCCCAGTACTAACGGAGCTAGAGGCACATTTTACTGCAATTCTGGCACTCCCTGACCTTGAGAAACCTCCTCAACAAATCTACATTGGAGTTCTCATCGGACAGAAGCTGCCGTCTCCTATTCAACAGCGTCGGGCGTTAGTTGGCTTCAGTCAACCTGCTTTGCTACCAATGACCAAGCGTCGAGAACTGCTGAGAAATGAGCAACCGGTACGTAATGCTGCGAGTCGCGAACGATTGGGACTGGAGTTCATCAGAAGTAGCTTTCTTTGCTTCACCTGTTCTATTGGCAGTGATCTACGCGGTCTCACATTGGGCGTTCAGCAACTTCGTGTGTTCCCGTCACCAGACTGTCATGACCGCAGTGCGTGTTTGTTCTCCTACTCGTATGAGAATTTAGAGAGCTGTGAAGTATCTGGAACACGACTGGAACTGCGCTTTAGAACGATCCATCAACTGACCAAGCAACCAAGTTATCTGGTGTTTCAGAGTCTGGAGTCTCAGTATATCCGCGAGGCGATCTGGTACTTCAAGAATGGAACGTACATGGACGCCTCTCTTCGAGAATTCCTAAGTTCTCCTAGATCGAGCAATGACGGTATTAGAGGCTCCCATCGAGGGGGTGTGTTGATGTTCTTCAGTGATACTGGCAGTCTCAAGCAACGGATCGACGCATGTTGTCGAGTCATTGGATGTGAGAACCTCGTGGAGTTGAACGACCGAAGCGCTAGTAGACAAGATGAAGCTTCGGCCTCCAATGCGATAATCAACTTTGGACAACTGAGTCACACATCTCGAGTCTTGACGAGTGGGTTGTGTGAATTCCACGCTTCTTGTCTCTCATCATCACCAAACAAAAGGAATTCGAGACAAAAGTCACGGGACAAGACTCCCGTTCCGAAGACGATGAAGCCGTTGATAGCACTACTCCAGTCGACGCATTACACAAAAATGTTCAAATTCCAAGGACAATTACTCAAGCGACAGAACGCACGTACGTTCCATCTACGGAAGATCTGGCATCAGAAGTTTGTTGTCTTGTTTGAGACTCCAGTCGGAGGATTTCTCTGCTATTATGACAAGATAACTCATTGTCCAGGGATGACAGACACACCCAAGGAGCGACGAATTATCGACTTAAGCTCGGTTTTGTCTATCCGACCGGTATCTTCTTCAAGTCCAGTAAGAAGTAACACCAACACGTCAACGATGCACGCATTCGACGTTGTGACTCTGTATCGGACGTGGACTTTTGCAGCTTTGGAGCCTGAACAGTACGAGATATGGCTACATGTTTTAACTGAATGCGTCGAGAAGCATGCAACTATCGCTCCTGATAAAATACTACGATTCCCAGTGAAACCAGCGATGACGAGTCAAACGTGTCCAAGTGAAGCTACGTCGATCGAAATTTCTTCACACGGTGTATCATTTTGTACGGGTCATGAAGCGGAGGTTCTATTGAGCACGTGGTATTATACTGATCTCGAAAAATGGTCGGTTGTGTTTCAACAAGGGCATTTGTGCTGCCTGCTCAAGTGTCGAAGTCCGGCCCCAGCATCTCCATCCTCACCGAGGAATATTGGGAGTGATATAGTCACTCAAGACTTCTTGTTTCGGACGACAGAAGCTAGCACGATATGTTTGGCTATTGAGTTTTATGTGGGGAAATGCATGGCAAAGCTGGAGGTGCTTGCTGGGAAGTTTCTGGAGGAAACTCAAAAGAGTAAGAGAGAATTGGTGAATGACCCAGCCACGACCAAACGTGGTGCTATTCCAAAACTGCAATCGGTGAGAGAACACCCGATTGAGAATGTATCACTTGCACCAGTGGGGAGTCCCGAACACGTCAAGGAGAACGCGACTGTGGTTGATCTTTTGCCACTAGCGCAACAGGAAAAGATGTTGATCAAGGCAGTGTCTAAGATCGATGAGATCAACTTTCCTACTACGGCTGAGGCTCGAAACGTGACAAGTGCAAATACAGACACGCAGACGTTAATTGACCTGGAAGGTATTGTGCAAGAGCGCATGCAAAACACTTTACCATCCGCCAGTTCGAATGGTAAACGGATTAACGAAATTAATTCTTTTGGGATGGAGAGCAACATCACGATGGAAGAAATTCCAGCGTCAACAAATCGGCCGATAATGCACCTAATGGACTCACAAGACAGCCTGGGCGCCCCGCATGAAACTGACACTTCGACAGTGAAATCCCTCACAGAAGGCGTACCACCATTGGTGTTGTCTGGATTACCGAACTCAGTTGCAGGTAATGATGTTTTGAGCGAGTTGGAGAGCATCGATCTCGGGGATTCAGTCGTCAATACCATCTATAGTCAGGGAGATAACAAGCCACACGAAGGCGAAACCGTATCAACGCATGACGAAGAAAAGCAAGTTTCGACATCCTTGCCCGAAATGCGCCTTGATATCGAAAAGATTCGTCGTGTCGAGGAATGGGATGAATCGACGAACAAGACCCTTCCAAATGGTATCGACGTCTCAACACCACACGAAGATTGCGTGGTCTCGCCTTCCAGCAAGAATATCAAGTCTTTCCCACCTCTCGATAACCTCCAGGCGCCACTGTCTTCACTACCTCCAATGCTGCTGCTCACGTACTCCCCGTCGTGGCCTGATGAATCCGTTATCGAAGACAAAATGAAGCAGCGAACACCGCCTGAAGAAGTTGAAGAAGACGATCGAACGTCGGAATGTGACGCCTCTGAACGATCCGATGCGTTCAACTCGTGCGCTTCATTTACTGAAGCTATCACTAGTTCAGACGCAATAGAAGACCCAGATATTCTTCCGCCTATGGACTGCGATGAAGTATTCGAAGATGCCAAGGAACCACTCGACTAATAGCATAGGATAGAACAACTAGCAAACGGTAAAATACGAGCTATAGATTTCACGAGCGCCTGTTTTTAAATTGAGATTAATTCAGTCGCGAGTCCGTCGCTTTGAAACTGGCAGCGAAGCGACGAGCCGGATGCAGCTGGAAGTCACGTACTGTAGAAGCCCAAGGACCCACGTTGTGTAGCTGTCAACAAGACCGAGTGAGTCTCTAGTTGCGTCTGGATGGACCGCACACCAGCAGCAAACGGCAGCTCTAGAAAGCCCAAAATGTACGAACTACGAGAAAACTTCTCAAGTTTCACAAATCTAATGAAGATTATTTTTTTTTCTCACTACAGAAATATCAGCTCAGCTTCATCTCCATTACGTAGAACCTCTCCATTTTCTCCATTACGCACTACATCACCAAAATTCCCTCCGATCAAGAAAATCAAGAGATCTTCTCCGAAAAAGCCTCTATCTGGAGTTAATGGAAAGGTACATGATGATAAACTTGTCGTTGATAGTCTAAACTGATTGTCTATTGTATTAGGGAGTATCGCTGCCTAAAGTTTCGTCCGTCACCTTTGCTAGTGGCGCTGCGACTCAAGAACTCGATTCAGGCGAGGTACGAAAACTCTGTGCTGTAAAATACTGCTATTTATTACTTACGGACTGCATTGTGATTTAGGAACTGGAAGTTCTTAAATGTATCCTTGTGCGTGAAGGTTATCTGCAACGATTAGGACGTGCTAGCATTGCCGGTCACATCGGAGGTGCCCACCTTGGCGAAACAATTGATTTACTAGATTTGCTTCGTTTGGCAACATTGGAGACCGTGGAAGCGATTGTTGCGTGGCGATATTACAAGCAGAAGGGTAAGGCAAACGATAAGTTGCGAACTCCAACGGAACCGGAACAATTCAAGTGGAACGGGATCAATTATCTACTCAAAGTCGCATCGGATTTGGAATTTTTAAGTAAACACACGGGACTTATTGAGTGGCTTGGCTTCACATTACAACGAAACCCGTTTATACTGCCTTTAAACCTCGACTGTCGAGCAAAATTACCGCAGAATTCTCAACCTACAGATAAAATTGGCATTGCAGATTCCGATCGGTTCTTGCAAGTCGGAGGGAAGCGTTCTCAGTCAACTTTTGACAACCTTCGTAGTTCAAATGGAGAAGATGCTGAAGCTTTGGCACTAGCATTAGCAGAGAGAAAACGAGCGAAAACTCCGTACGAAACTCGAGTTGTGAACGATGAAGAGCTTGTTCCAAACTCGCCATCAAAGACCGGAATTATCCGACCAAAGTCTCGCACTCCACTAAAAGCTGGTAAAACCAAGTACAGCTCTGTGCTGCCGTCTCAAATCGGAGAAGTGGACATGGCACGACTTCATGAAGCTGAGATTGTGGTTTTGCAAGAAGAAGCAGCTTTTGGGCGATATGCGCGGGATATTCACGGTCGAGTGGTGCCTGAAGATGAAGCTCAACGTCGATTTAGTATGGTGGAATTATCCAGGAACGCTTACAATATACCAACGACTCTTAAGTCTAGTTATACAGCTGAAGACCCTGAAGGAAACGCCTTAAAACTCGGAGATCCCACGCATTCAGATATACCGGGTAAACTTCACGTGAAGAAACGCTCCGGGATGCTAGGACCAATTTCTAAACCGGAATGGCGGACATTTGAGCGTCCTCCACCGCCAAGACGAAGAGCTCGAGGTGCTCAATTGGAGGAAACTTTGGCAGCAGAAAGAAAAGCAAATGCACAATTAGGCATGCTTTTAGACTTGATGAGAGAAGAGACCGAGCGCAAAGCGATGGATGTGGCGTATTTCGAGAGTTGTGTCGAGCTACAAGGGTATGGAGAAGAATTGAGAGCTTTTACTATTCAAGCTCAGAGAGAACTGGTAGTATTGTGGAAAGAACTTCAGGAGAAGAGATACATGTTCGAGAGCAAAATCCTCAACATTCAGAAGAAAGAAGAGCTGCTTAATACTTTCAAAGCACAACACAAGGCTGTCAAGGACGCAACGGTAAGCAATTTATTTTCGTTTTTTTTTTTTGTTTTTTCTTCGAAGTAGTACGTATTCTAACGTTTTGCGAATGATTTTGATCAGCACGCTAAGCGTATTGAATCGAGTATAACGAAAGTTGCGAGTCTCAACCAAGAGCAACAACGACGTGAAGAACAAGAACAAGTTGCAATTCGAGCTGCCGCTGGGGCTGAACGTGATAAACATGAACAAGCTGCTCCAATAGTTCAGCATTTTTGCGCAACCCAAATCCAGAGAATCGTTCGTGGGATGTTGGCTCGAGAGCTTTTTGCACAGATGAAGATCGAGTTCGTCGTTGCGAGTACTTTTATCCAGGCTGGTATACGTGGGTTCCTCGTTCGAAGACGCGTTGCAAAGATGTACTGGCACAATGCAGCATCGGTGCACATACAGCGAGTTGCTCGAGGATTCGTTGCTCGGAGACTAGCAAAACAGAAGAGAAGACGAAAACAACAGATGCGATCAGCTGAACGTATTCAAAAAGTGGTGCGTGGTCGGTTCGGACGAGTAAGGATGAGGAAGATCAGAGAGTTGGTGAGTTGGCGTCTGCAACTTGCGCTTGCGGCTCGAGCTATCAACGCTGTGGCTTTACAGGAGCTGGCAAATGCTTGTCAAACGATGGTTGCACTGCCTAGTATTATGAAAACCGAGGCAAAGGCGACATCGGAAGAGAAACCCCTTCCTGCTCTTGTGCTTGGATTGGTGCGCTTGTTGATTCTCTTCACGAGTGACGCTGATGATGAATGGGACATCCCCAATACTCGTTGGCGAGAAGCTGCTCGGTTTCTTCGATGTGGCGTTGGAGTTACGCGTCGAATGCAGAAAATCGCAGATGCTGCTGCAGGAGCTGCAAGAGCTTGGATGTCACCATCAGGAGGGTTTTCTGCTTCTGGAGTTGCTGCATCCACGCCGTGTTTACGAGAGTCAGTACTAGGTACAGCACTGTTAGATGCGTACAAAGGGGATCTGGACTTTCGAATTGAGACGTTTGAGCGAATATCTCGAGGCTGGCAAGCTGCAGTTGCCATTTTCAAGTGGACTACGGCGTTCTGTGCTATCACTCGGCTTCAGCATCTTGTAGAGTGCAGCACAAATGACCCGTTCTTAGTGGTTATTCGCACATTGAGCAAGCGAGAAGCTCAACATGAAGTTACAGAGCGACGAGACGCCGATCACGGCGAAGAAATGCTCGCTCGACGGTTTGTTTCAGCGGAATTGGTTCAGACTCGTAATTACCCATTCCATCGACGTCGTCCGATGCTGCTCGTAGTGGCAAGCGATGTGCCGCGAAAAGCACGAGTTGTTATTCTCCAGAAACTCCAAGCCGCTTTACCCGGACTCTTTCTCGCAATTACGCGTCCTCCAGCAACTACAAAAAGGTCCTTGGGTGCTCAAGATCCGACTCAAAACTTCGATTTCAGGACTATTCGCGATGCTCTGGCACTAGGACACAGTGTGATTCTCGAAGGTGACGTAGGTCTTCGTGATGTGACGCAACGTGCCTTCTTGCGTTCATTTGCCACCGTCAAGCAGGGACTCCATCCAGAACCGATGTGTGTTCTCGTGAGAGGGGCCATCACTAACCGTAGTGACCTCTTTGGGCCTAAACAAGGCAGTGATGTGGAGGAACAAGCGTATCGGGAAGAAATAGTGCGTCGAATGGTTGACGCAGACTTGAAATTGGCTCTGGATCGAACTGCAAGGTTGAGACTGGAGCTGACCTATGATGATATCACGCGTGAGATGGTAGAGCAGACGAAGACTGATTCTCCAAGTCCAGCACTTGTGGTGGTCATGGAGGCTGTGATCGTGTTGCTGACTCCGGGGAAGGTGTACGAGGGTCCTTCACAGAGTGAAATCGCGACAAGTTCAGTGAGTTGGCGACTATCTCGTCGGCTTCTGGGTCAACCAGCATTCTTACGGTCTAAACTCCACCACGTGGACGTCACCACAATTCCACCCGCTAATTTACTGGCATTGGAGCGATATCTGCGTCATTCTCTGTGGCCTAATGCTGCAGTTTCCCGGTCACACGTCGATGCTAGTAGACTGCTATTTGCACTCGCAGCTTGGGTCGAATCAGCTACTCGAACTGCGCGGTTGATCGCTGCCGATGGTACAGGTGTTTTGGCGCCTGAAATCACCCGCTTCGAACCTGTTCCTGGTCTGTTTGAGCGAGTGGTTGCCTTCAACAATTGTCCGACAGATTCTGTGCAGGATGGAGCAGGTGAAGACTCGGCTGTGATGGAATTGATGGATGCTGTTCTTGCTGATGTTCGAGTGTACCGCACGGCACATTCGCTCGTAGGTTCCAGCAGTAATTTATGCAGTCAAACGCGTAAGAAGAAAACTATCGACGAGCAAGAGCGCTGCGTCGTGACGCTCTTCCATGAGTGCCGACGTATCTTCGCAAGTGTATATTCGCCTAGCTCGGGTCAGCGATGGATGACTGTAATCTCAGAAGACAACATCGACAGCCTCTTGACCCCGACAGGAGGCGAGAGTCGCGTAGATAAATTACCACCAAAGTCACAAGCAGAAATGTACGCTCGTCTCGCTCGCCTCTGTTTGCTCCAGAAACGTAAATTTGAAGATTGTCCAGAGTCTATCGAGCCTCCAAGTCCGTACGAGTTGGTGCTGCGTCCTCATGCCATTCGACTGTATCGACACGTACTGCAACTTAACGGATATCTCACCACTGTCACCATCGCTGAGCTTTCTCGCGGACATGTTCAAGTTGACGCGTTCGTACACGGCGGCAGCAGTTCTCAGGCAACTTCTACACAAGCTGCCGCGTTGACGTTGGCGGTTGAACTCGAAAACATTCTGGGTCGACTCTCAGCAGCTCAAGCACGACGAACTATTGTCCCAATATCTCGTATCCCATCACTGATGCTTGACCGACTCCATTTGTACTGCATCACGAGAACTCAAATGATAATTCCTGAATTCCAGCAGAGGTTGGAGTCTTCATTACGTCTCAGTGTGAAAACCGCTGAGAGTTCTCCCGGACGTGTACTGCTTCGTCGCATAGTACGAATGTCCGCTGCAGAGAGAATGGTATTTACTCTTGTTCAACACCATGAAGACGGAGATTTCCAGGCTGCCTTCTACGCTCCTGGAACCAGCAAATATCATAATATCCGCCTCTCGAGAGATGAAGCAGGAGAGCTGCTGCATTTATCGAGACATTCAACGCCTTCCAAGCTACATCGAGTGTTAATGAAAAGGTTTTGCCTTGCGAAGCTAACGCCGAAAACGAGTGATGTTAGTGCTGAAGGCAGCGATGATGATGATCAAGAACTCGTGGAAGAAGTTGACACAATCACTCGCTACCGTTTACGACGACGAATTATTGCGAGGTTCCCTTGTGTGCTTCGTGTTCTGGAGGATATTAACCAACAGGTGCACAAGAAGCAGGTCATTCGCGTATACGTTCAGGTCGAACTCAGTGATGAAAAATCCACCGGGGAGGGCTCAAGCGTAGGAAAAATAAGTAGTAGAGATGCAATACGGTATCGCGTGTGGATTCCTGAGTCTTGTCTGGAACAAACTCTGGTTCTGCAAGAAAGCGAAATCGAGGCTAGTCTGCCGGTAGAACTGTCGTGGAAACACTCAGCCGGAAGAGAACGGAGAGATATTAGTCGGGAGATCGTACGTCGCTTCTTTCAATGGGACCCTAACGGTGGCAGGGAAGGCGGATGCGTGGTGGCTCACTTACTGTGTGGTTCATTCTGGGCGACTGAGGTCGATGCCGTCAAGAATCTCATTGAGAAGTCTCGATCAGATGAACAAATGAAAATGGAGCGCCAGTCCACGAAGCCCCAAGCTCAGCAGAACACTAAAGCGTCCGTGGTTTCGTGCACTTACATGCTAGACGATCGAGATACAGAAAGTGACGACGAGAGTGACAACGAAGAAATCAATCGCAGACGGAAGACGTACAGCTACGACACCGAGGAACTTGTACATCATGGCAGCTACCATGTCAACGGCCTGTACGTAGTTGTTCGCATCACGATGCGTGCTCAAGTGCTTCGAGACTTGCAGCCAGTGCTTGTGTCTCCTACTGATCGTGTACGGGAAAGCGATTCCTTTACCATCAAGTTCTGTGTGTACCATCCGGTATCCAGCGGCACTGCCAATGCTGAAATCCACGGACACCGAGACTTACGCGAGGTTGTAGGCCCCGACCAGTCCGCTCTTATCTCCTCCACGTCTTTGGACACTTTAATGCGTCATATTATCTTGACACGCTTGGATGCTCAAGTGGATCGGGAGTCTACTGATCGTCTAAAGGTGATATTCTTGCGTGACCGATTGTACGCGAAGCAGAAAGCCACTCCAGTGACAAAGATGTTCGAGCAAGACTCTGGTGCGAACGCTGCTAAGTTGATTGGTGAGGATCGACGTCGTGGAATAGCTGGGGAGCGCGGTGTCAAGGTGTTGACTACAGCGAAGGTCGTCTCGGGTTGTGGTCGCACACTCTTTACTGTGTTCGACGTAGCCGCAAACCACCGGCTTGAACAAGCTGCAGATAGCTGCGTGATGCTGCGAGTGGATGCGTACGTGTGTGCAACCAGTGCGAGGTTGTCTCTGTTACTTGAAGGTAGCGATCTGGTACATGTTGTCGGCGATGAAGATAAAGAACTACTGCTGCCCCTAGTCCACAGCGACGCTAACACTGCAGAAATCGCCGAGCTGGAAAAGGAGAGGAGTCGACGACTGGCACTAATGGTGCTAGATCACTTGCGTATCGAGCAGCGAAGTGACGGACGTAGTGATCGCCTTGTGCTCTCCGAAATCTCCTTTTCTCCACTCGATGTATCAACCCGCGAGGCTAAGACTGTGAAGATTTTCAAGACGATTCGAGCAGTGGGGCACGACCAAGTGCTACTTTCCGCATATCTGGACGGAGCAGACTCATTATCGATGAGGCTGGAGCTGTACGACCCTGCAAGCAGCTCACGCTGTACGCTGAAGCTTTCGCGTTCTACCTTGGCTGCAATATTGGGGATCGCAGAACCACTTGAGCTCGATCAACTCATGGGGGCAGATCGAGCCAACTTGACGACGCATATTTGCTCTCTGCTTCACGTTGAGAAGATGCCTGATACTTTAGATGGGATTTTGGACAGACCTTCGACGTTCGTGATGTCACTAGAATTTGACGAGCAACAAGCGATGGAGTGTATGAGGCAACACATCAGTGGAAATAGTGGTGCCGATACGGAAGCAGTGTCTCAGTGTTCGTGGACTGGAATAACAGCGAGCACAGACGGAAAATATCTCTCTGTCCGCCTTCAAGTTCAGTCCACACACAAGGGTCAACGCTGGTTGCTGTGTTCTGCCTTCGCTCCAGCAGAGTTGCTTGTGAGTGCACGGAAATTCGAGTGGGCGGGTATCCCAGCAGAATTGCTCAGTCTTCTTCCTGAGAATACCGAGACGTACGATCAGCCCAGCTCCTCCGTCTACTTGATGTTCTTCCGCAAAATTTGTGAGCAGCTACGCTTGGAAATGTACTACGATGACGAAGGCAGCCATGAATCGGATCAAAAACGCCATGAAAACCGCTCTGTACGGCCGAAGACAATCAGTATCAACTTCCAGTAACTTGAATACACCCCAATTTTGCCGCCCATGTCACTAGCAATAGACCTCCACACCGCCAGCTAAATGTCAACCGGTGACCGTTATTGCACGACAAGAACGCGTCAGACAGACCATTTGTGTGTCCAGGTAATCCAGAGTCGCCACGTGATTGCGCTGAAATCGGTCAAACTAAAAGTAGATGACGGTTGTGCGGGCTCTATTTTCTTTCAGATCAGCCCAGGTGCCTGCTTCGAAGGCCCGACGCATTTGGATAAGTCTATTAGACCTCCATACCAATGCACCACACCACTCCACCAGACACTTGTTCGAGTTTGTCTGCTGCGATCGAGTCGATTGCAGGGAATGGCCTCGATGGTCTCCATGCTGCAGCTATCGCCCTGCAAAGACCCGACGGACACATCCAGCTAGAATTCGCAGCCGAAGACGCCATCAATCTACAGCCACCTCGCCCAAGTAATGCTCGTCCAGATCAACTCCAGTCGCTACCTGACCCGTCAAGCAAATCGTTCACGGTCGATGGGGATACTGATGAGCTACTCTTAATCCCACCACTGATGAACATTTGCATCCTCATCGTTGGAACTCGTGGAGATGTCCAACCGTTTCTAGCTATAGCACTGCGACTACAGGAAGATGGACACCGTGTCCGACTGGCCACCCACGCTGTGTACCGAGACTTTGTGATGAGCCACGGTGTGGAGTTCTACCCACTGGGAGGCGATCCGAAAGAGTTGGCTGCTTACATGGTCAAGACGGGTGGTAATCTAATTCCCATGAAGATCAAAACGTTGACCGAAGACGTGCCGCGCAACATGCAGATGATCAACGAAATTGTCTTCTCCACGTGGCCTGCGGTATCCGAACCGGATCCGGACGGAGAGGGCCCGGACGTTCCTGGTCCACCATTTCGAGCCCAAGCCATCATTGCCAACCCTGTTTCGTATGGACATATTCACGTGGCTGAACGTCTCGGCGTCCCGCTCCACATCATGTTCCCCCAACCATGGGTACCTACCATGGCATTCCCACATCCACTATCGAATTTGGCGTACACTGGTAAATGGCAGAAGAGGAACTACCTCTCCTACAAACTTGTCGACTTGATCATGTGGCAGGGAACAGAAGGGGTCATCAATGAGTTTCGAACGGAGGTACTGAAGCTGCATCCGATCCGCAATGGAGATTCAGGTTCCGAGTTACTCTTGGACTTGAATATTCCGCACTCATTCATGTGGAGTCCTCAGCTTGTACCAAAGCCATCAGACTGGGGAGATTTGTACGATGTCATTGGCACTGTGACGCTGAAGGGGCCAGCATCCGAGTACTCTCCATCTCCAGAACTTGAGGCTTTTCTTGGTAACGATGGAGGTCCTATCTTCGTCGGCTTTGGCTCCATGGTGTTAGCCGACCCTCTTGCGACTACGAAAATGATCATTGAAGCGGCCACACACGCGAAGATGCGAGTACTGATCCAGTCGAGCTGGAGTGATATGGCTGGCGATATTGACATTCCAAGTAACGTCTTCTTTATCGGCAATTGTCCTCACGACTGGCTCATGCCCAGAGTATCTGCTGTTGTTCATCACGGTGGCGCTGGCACCACAGCCGCCGGGTTACTCGCAGGAAAGCCCACCTTCATCGTGCCATTCTTTGGAGATCAACCGTTCTGGGGTCAAGCTGTAGTAAGTGCTCGGGTAGGAGTACCGCCCTGCCCCATCGCCCAACTTACGACTGAAATATTGCATAATGCCTTCGTTGAGCTTGCCAATCCAGACCTGCGTAAGCGAGCAGAAGCCATGCGTGATCTAATGCTGCGAGAAGACGGTGCTGGAGAAGCCGTACGCAGGTTCTATCATCATTTACCGACGCAAGACATGTGGTGCGACTTGGATCACCAACGTATCGCCATGCAATGGAGCGTTCATGACCGGATTAAGCTTTGTGACCGCTGTGCCTTCATCGTACGAGAGCGTCCAGAGAACCAAAAGAAGAAATTCGTTCGCTACCACTGCGTCGATTATTCCGCTCGAGGTCCCAGTTCGCTGCTGACAGGAGTTGCCACAGGCGCCATCGTCTTCGCACACGAGTTGACTGGAGGGTTAACAGGTGTCTTGCTTCAGCCAGCAAAAGGATTAATTAATGGCGGTGTTGTCGGTGCTGTCAAAGGAGCGGTCGCAGGTGTGTACTATTTGTTGGTTCGACCGGTCCACGGTGCTGTGCTCTTCGCTGATCGCGCAGTGGCCGGCCGAAAAAATTCCAAGCGAGAAGAAGGCCACCGCAAGCTGAACAATGTCTTCGATCGTCATCTGATGGCAGCCTTGGGGGTACAGGATGGCTTGGCAGACACGTTTTGCGCTGCCACTAGTCCAAATGCAGTGGATATCGTGATTTTCGCGCGCAGAAAAGACCGCAAGAAGATGTTGGGGAGGATGAGGCAGTCCGTGAGGCATCGGTATAGTGCTCGCTACGAGTCCATCTTGTTGTCCCAGCGAGCTGAGAAACTACAGGCTTGCATGCAGCAGTTGCTCTATCCAACCAGTGCGGAAAGCTCAGGCTTAAACAAACAGCGTAGAGCTTCTGGTTCAGCAGTACAACCACTTTTTCGTCGTGCTAGTAGCAGAACTATGTCGGACAGAAGCGTTGCGTCCGTTAGCTCATCTGTTGAAGATACCAGCTCGGGGGCACGGAGCGAACCAGCTATAAAACTCCGCCTGGCTCGCCTTACGTCAGCCGGGACGGTCAAACTGACCCTTGATATTCCAAGCGAATCGGCAAACGCTGTAGATTTATCAACCATCGCGGAATGGGAGGCATACACTTCATCTCACGTAGACACCACCGAGTCGGCCCAACAAGATGTAAAGATCAAAAAGTCAAAGCCGTCAACCCCACGAATACCACACATGAATGTGTGTCTTGCAGCTATCGGCACATGGGATAACGGAGTGAAGCAGTTTGTGGCCATTGGGATCAAGCTCAAGGAACAGGGACATCGCGTGCGTGTTGCACCTAACGAACGCTTTCGCACTGAGATCATGTTGCGCGGTTTGGAGTTTTATCCACTTGCTGGGGCACCCGAAAGTGTTCAGGATTTTGCCAAGTTTGTGTACGAAAGTCAAAACGCAGCGCGGGCGGCAGTTCCTGGTCGTCTCGGTACAGGCGCCATTCAAGCCTTCAAGGAGCTTATTTACTCGCTGTGGCCAGCAGCGTATGGATCGGACCCTCATGGCGGCGGTGCAAACATTCCTGGAGTTCATTTTCGCGCAGATTCACTCTTTTGGCATCCGCTGCTGCTTGGTCACGTTCACGTAGCAGAACGACTCGGGATTCCACTTCAATGCGCGAGTTTGGATCCTCTCTCCCCGACATACTCTTTTCCTCATCCTCTGAGCTCCATCAACGGCCTTGAACCGGCAATCATGACCTTGAGTCAGAGCAACTTGCTGACGTATGGCGTTGTTGACACCACACTCTGGCACGGCGGTGTACAAGAAGTGTTGACCCAGTTTCGCGCCTTCATTGGTCTCAACAAACGTTGCGATCTACCTGATCCTTTGGTTCGATGGGATATTCCCCACATTTACCTTTGGAATCCTGCGCTTCTACCGAAGCCACTGGGCTGGGGAGCGGAGTTATCAGTTGTTGGCCATGTCATGCTCGGCAATACTGACGGCCTCAGTCGAAGCAAACGTAAGAAGCGCGAGAAAGAGGGCAATCGCTTCAAGTGGCCCAGCCAGCTCGCTGAGTTCGCATTTGAGACGCCATCACCTCCAGTCATATACTTTGGCGTATCAACGCGAGCCATGGCACGTGATGATCTCGACGAATTATTGCAGAACATCGACGCTGCAGCCACTACCTCAGAGCACCGAGTACGCATCATCTTTCAGACTCGCGAGGTAGGCGACAAAAGTCGAGCACCCTACCGGTCTGCCAGTGTCCTTCAGGTTCTCAGCGATCTCGAATACGCACGCTTCTTTCAAGAGCCGAACGTGGTTGCAGCAATCCACTGGGGAGAACCCGACATCACTGCAGAAGCTCTCTCGGCTGGTAAGCCCGTAGGCATTTGCGGTACACATTCATTGCAGCACTTCATGGCCTGCGTGTGTGAGCATGCTCAGGTTGGTCTGCCACTGATAGACTGGAAGACGTGCACAGTCAAGTCGCTGGCTTTGAGTTTCAGGGATCTCCTGAAGCCTGAACTCCGAGATAGAGCCAAGACTCTTTCAGCCACATTCGATCGAGAACAGCCAGTCAATACCGCAGTAAAGGCATTTTACGCGAACTTACCACTCGAGGCGATGCGCTGCGACGTGGATCCCAGCAAGCTGGCACGAGTGTTTGACCCACCCCACACGCTCAAGCTCTCACTTCCAGTTTACGTGGCGATCCGCGATAAAACGAAGGTTTTTGTGCCGTACAAGCCACTTCGGTTCGGAGGCAGCCTTCCCCCGACATTCTCCATACTCGGCAATCCGGTAAACGTATCTCACCAAGCCAAACCTTTCCGCCAGGTTGATGCTGTCCGCCAAACCCTGGATCTTCTTGATGATAACGGCCATCGGCTGAGCAGTAGGACATTAAGCTGCACTTCGATCGTGTCTAATCCCGGAAGTCTTGTCGCCACTCCAGAGCAGATCGAGATGTTTTGGTCTTCTGAAGAAGAGGAAGCCTCAGCGCGTAAGGCCACCACTGTAGCTTACGAACGTCTCGTTAAGAAGCCGCAGCGCACCACCAAACGAGAAGCAGTCATGCGCTTCTTCAAATTTCGGAAGTCAACACAGCGTCGAGAAGCAGAACAGTTAACCATAGTAGAGTAAATAATCACTAATGTAACTCGTTCCCAGTCCCTAGGAAAGCACAGTAACCAAACAAATTCAGTCCATAAACCTACAATGAATTGAATAAAACGAATCTATTCCGAGTGAAGTCGTAAGTAGCAAGAATCGCATAGTTACCCGTCTGCTGTGACTGAAGAGCGCGCCCATTGCAGCTATATAGCAACGGACGATGCCGACGATGCCGACGATGCCGACGATGACGAGGTTCCATTAGCGAACTTGCGTGTCACCAGCAGTTTCTCGTATTTATCGTTGATCTCCAGAGTGCGCTCAGCCTGCTCCTCAGGTGAGTTCCAGAATTTTGGCAATTCCACCACGTTCAGCGCCATGGACTGTGCACGAGAAAACTGAAGGAGCTTCTTACGGGGAGCGCCACCATATTTCTTCGCCTCCTTGGACGACGACGGGGACGTCACTGATGCCCGTTCGTGATCCACTCTAGCTGCCAGTTCTTCACTGGCAGGATCGTACGTGTACAGGATTTTTGTCCTCGGTTGCTTCTTGAGGTTATTGGACGAAGCTGGGTGCAGCAGTTCCAATTCTCGTAAAGAGAACCGTGGCGGGTGGTGCTGAGAGTATTTCAGCGGCTTGTACTTCAGGTCACCCGCGCTGCCTGCATCTTTCGTGATCTGGTGTACGACTAGTCGTGCCTCATACGACAGCTTCATTTCGTGCAGCGAGTCGTAGACTCGAGCAATTCGTGCTGGATCCAGGTCGCACCTCATGCCTGCTAGCGGTAGATTGCTGTAAAAGGCCGATACAGCAGTCTCGATTGCCGTTGATGACGAGAACTTGGGAGCAAGACGCTTGGCGCAGTGAGTAAGCTTGGGGTCCAGTAGCATATGGAACACATGAATGAGGTTGGATGGAGTTAGTGCATCCAGTTCCAGTGGTTCGATGCCCGCTCCCGAAAGAACTAGTGCCTGACCCCACATGCGCTGAGTAATGTTACGCGGGACCACACACGCAGGCTTCGCTGCTGCCAAACACGTTGACGTGATGGAGAGATCTCCCCAGTGTATGGCGGCATCCACGTGCGGGAGAACACGCTGGACAGGGAAGTGCTGATCGATCTCGAATACAACGTCGGTGCCGCCGACGAAAAGTGCTGCGTCATCGTTGCTGTTTTCGTAACCTTGAAACACAACACGGACGTTTGCTTTTCGTGCAGCTTTCTCGAGCGAACCTAGCAGATCTTGCACGCGACGCGGATCCCAGTCACTACACTGGAAGCCGAAGTAGATAAGTGGTGTACCAGCAGAGCTGCTAGTGAATGACTGCAGCTCTTGTTCGATGGCAGCAAGATCAGTGTTGTCGTCGTCACTTTCCTTCAACTCAACGTAGCCAGCAATTGTAATTTCACTGCCCCAATCATGAGGTTTCGGCAGAATTGCTGGATTCCACAAGTATGTGTGAGGGATGCGCCACTCAGCCAGCAAATTGTTCGCGATACTCCTGCCTGTAAGCCCAAGAGAATGTCGGAAGTCGTCTAAGACGTCTCGCATTCCATTCCACAGCACATTATCGATCACATCGTATGACGCTGCGTTCGTGGGTGCATATCGGTACGGTCGGTGAAGTTTCATATTCGAACTGACCAGGTGAGGGAATGCCTGTGTGCGAGACTGTGGGTTATAACTCATGCAGTGCAGAGGCACACCAAGACGTTCAGCCACAATGGTCTGTCCGAACAGATAAGGGTGCGCGATGATAGCGTCCGCTCGGAAAGCCTTGCCAGGCACTAGAGGATCCACTTCCACACAGGCTGGCCATAGCGAGAATACGAGTTCGCGCAGGTCATCCACTTCGGGAAACGATTCGCGCCGGTGATTCAGTTTGCTATGAGCGAGATTGAGTAGTCGAGATTTGTGGCGCGGCTGGTCCTGGCTTCGCTGGTGCAGGTATTTCAAAAAGTTTCCAGTAGTAATGGCACTACCTCCAAGTGGATAGAAATCTAAGCCAGCACTGACAATGCGATCCCGGTGGCCGCTATTTGTTGCGATCCGAATACAGTGGCCGTCCGCTTTGAGCCGCAGTCCGATTGCAACGTATTGCTGGACACTTTCTTCCCAGCTGCCGGTTGTCATCATGCAAATGTTCATCTTCGGCAGTGGAGTACTGTTCAAACTCTCAAGGCGCTTCTTGTGGGCTTCCTCCTCCTTGCGAGCCTCAGCCTCCAACTCTTGAACTTCGTTTTCGTGCAGTGCCTCACCAACTTTTCCACCATCACCAAAAACAATATCGAACGAATCGCTGCCGTTGAAAGTTGCCCCGTCAACGTTTACAACAACAGTTGCCCCTTCATCCGCGCTATCGACGGATGCTGAGGTTGACAAACTGCTGTTAGCAAGCTTGAGCGCTCTTTGCCCGTGCAATTTGCGTTCTTTAATGAGCGCGTTGAACCTGTCTTCAAGCGTGCTCTTCTCTTCAGGTGTTAGCTGAACAGCAACTTGTGAAGACAGCAGATTGTCTCCGTCAATCACTTCATCTGCACTCATCGAGCCAGTGTGAACATTGCGAGTCTTGAATCCCATGGCATTCAGGAGCTTCTTGTTATCCCCAATAAGAGAGCCCTTCTTTTTGTCTTCACCCCCACGAACATTATTGTACGCTCCAGTTGCAAGATGGTCCGCAAATACCACCGTACCCACCAAAGGACTGATCATCAATCCACCCAAGCCCTTTACTAGTCCGATGACAGCGCCCTTCGCACCTTCTTCACGATATCCTTGCGCAGGCTTGACAACCACATCTTTAAAGCCCGACCCAAACACATGAGCGAATGCTCCCACACCAGATGCTGCGCCCTCGAGAACATTTTCCGGGCCACGTGCTGAGTAGTCCACGAAAGTGTACTCAACAATATCTTTCGCCGAATTTTCAGGGCGTGAGGCCACTACAAACGCGCACTCATCACACAAACGGATTTTGTCCTTCTGGCTCCACATCGTTGCAGCTTGTCCACAATCCAAGTCACAACGCATGTGGTGTAGAGGCAAGTTGCGGTAGAAACTTCTCACAGCTTCACCTGCGCCATCTTCGTGCCGCATTAGGTCGCGCAATTCGGCCGCGCGTATACGAAGTTCTGGACTCTCCAATGCCTCAAATGCAACTCGAAGTTTCTGTGTTGTTAGCTGCGAGATCGGGCAAGGCTCGACACCTACACCAGCGTCAAAGACAGCACGGCCCCAGAACGGCTGATCTCCAAAGAACGGTACGATGAACGTGGGTTTGCCTGCAAGCAGACCTGCTGCTGTAGTGCCTGCACCGCCGTGATGCACTACGGCCGACACACGTGGCATAAGCCAGTCGTGAGGACAGTTTCCCAAGAAGAAAATGTTGTCTGGAATTGTCAGATCTCCTGCCATATCACTCCAACTCGACTGAATCAACACACGAACACCAGCCTGTTCTGCAGCCTCAATAATCATCTTCGTAACGCCCTTCGGATCCTCAATAACCATAGAGCCAAATCCCACGAAAACTGGTCCAGCATCGTCACCTAGGAATGCTTCAAGTTCAGGTGACGGCGTGTACGAGGAGCTTGGGCCACCCAGCGTAACTGTCCCAATCACATCGTAAATCTTACCCCAGTCATGTGGCTTCGGCACAAGGTGTGGGCTCCACATGAAGGCATGGGGAATTGATAGGTCTAGCAGGATATCACGGCCGCCGTCTCCTTTGCGAATTCTGCGCAGCTGCAACTTGTCTCTACGAAAGGCGTTCACCATTCCCTCTGTACCCTGCCACATGAGCAGGTCGACCATCTTGTAGGACATGTAGTTCACCTTCTTGGGTTTGCCAGTGTATGGCATGTTGGCAAGCGGGTGTGGGAACGCCGTCGTAGGCACCCACGGCTGAGGGAACATAATATGAAGCGGCACACCAAGACGTTCTGCAACGTGGATGTGACCGTACGTAACAGGGTTCGAGATGATAGCCTGTGCTTGGAAGGGTTTACCAGGGATTCCGGGGCCGTCGCCATCAGGGTCTGCTTCGGACACGGCTGGCCACGTCGAGTACAAAATTTCTTCGATCATCTGCATGTTTCGCGGTACATCCTTCTGAATGGCTTCCAGGTTGAGAGGAATCAAGTGGCCTCCCGTCTTGACCATATACGCTGACAGCTCCTTGGGGTCTCCAGCAAGCGGGTAAAACTCGACACCGTGACTCATAACGAGGTCTCTGTATACCGCATGAGTGGCCAGCCGCACGCGGTGGCCATCTTGGATAAGTCTCTTGGCGATAGCGACAAAGGGCTGCACGTCGCCGTGGGTGCCGACGATCATGATGCAGATGGTCATTATAGGCGCGTTGTAGTCGGTCCGGCTGCTCTGTCGCGTGGTGCGCAGCGACTTGTCCTCACGGCACTTGTCCTGCTCCTGGAGCTCCGAAATGTCGTATTTGTCGTCGTCTTCGTCAAAGTCCATGTGGATGTGGCCGTCGCGGTCAAAAGCTGCCGCAGCATGCACCACATCAGCGAAGGACGTGAACTTGCCCACGTCGATGGACTGGCGTCGGCGCTCATCTGCGATCGACTGCACAGCGCGCGCGAATGCTTCCTTCCATCGCTGTTGGAGGCAGTATGTTAGTCAACTATCATGACCATCACTCTGATTCCGGGTGGCTTTACCTTCGGCTTGTGCTCCTGCTCTGCGGACGCTTGGGGCATTTCTAGCTCTGCTGTCTGCGGCGGTGTCTCCATCGCGACCGTCTTGTCCTCCTCCTGCGCGGCTTCCATCTTGCTTGTTGCGCACTGAACAGCAGACGTGCGGCTGACGTTGCCAAATGTGGAATGCGGAATGCGGAATCTGAGTTGTCCCGCACTTGTCGGCAATCCAGCAGTTTTAGAATTTTATACGAACAAAATCTTTATTTCCGACCTGTCTCAAAATTTGTATCAGAACGAGAATATGAGAATTTGGTTTTGTATATCCTGCAATAGACAATATATAATGGGTACATTCTGATTGATCCATTTTGAGAAAGCGTGCTGTGTGCTCGATTATTGACATGAGTAGCAATCTACTCGGCCTGTGCGCTGTTCGTAATCTACAGATATGCTGGAAACTCGAGCGGATTTTGCTGGTGCAGTAGAACCCACGCTGCCATTCCCCTGATCGTGAGCCGGGTGTTGCCAGCCTAAACCTAAAGGCGGACTTGTCCATGTATTACGCGCTATGCTCGACTGCATGGCACCTCATTGTGAGCGTGAACAAGCGTAAGCTAGACAGCCGCCGCTAAGTTGTCCTTGAGATCTGACGTGGTGCTAGCATACCATAATAAAGACGCTGATAATTATGGCTGTACTCAGCAATGGCAGGAGGTTGCACCTTGCAAGGGAAAACCAGTGGTAGCAGATCACGTCTCTCCATGCCACAGACTCTGTGGCACAGAGATCCTCGATTCACTCAGGCACTTACCAATGCTGTCAGGCCCCGGTCTCTGCTAGTGTAGCGCTGCTGTTAATCTAGCGCAGCGATTAAGTCAGCTTGTGGGCTTGAAAAGAAGATATCATCGATACAGCATCGACGTGGATACTTGCGCTGCTCGTTAACTACAGTTGAAGTATAAAGGCTCTGGGCTCCGATTGGCCATTTTCATTTCACTTGCTTTTTGTATTCTCATTCGTGTTGAAACGGATTGTCGAGTCTCACTTGACCTGGACCTGTGCAGTTCTCCATCACAAGCTTACATTTCAGCTAAGCCCCACTACCCTTCACCTCATCCGTCTACTACGCCGGGGGGGCGCAACTATCCATGGCGAATAAAAACCGGCGGCTGCGGTCCTCGTCCGTCTCCTTTGGGGCCGGCTCGATCCCAAGGCCGAGCTTTGACCAGGAGCCCCGCAATGTCATGCGACGCCGTTCATCGTCGCCGCGAGTCTTCTCGCCCTGGCGACGCGCCGACAGCGTCATGGAGCGGATCATGAACCCGTTCCTGGACCGTGAGTCGCCGTCCCAATGGAATCGCTACAAGCCCGTGCCAACTTTGCCGGAGCTGCAACTTGCACCTGATGCTCCAGTTCCAGAACCAGCGGAGACTGCTGCTCGGCATACGCAGCTAGCAGCCGCAGAGAAAACTCAGCCCACATACAAGAAGTCACTCGCTTTCCATGGTGGACTGCACTCAACCTACGTGGCGGATTACCCGAGAGGACTGCGCGGCCTGTTCGTGTTGATCCAGAGTCCTTTGCTACTGATTACTATTGGCATTTTCGCTGGCAGCGTGGGGCTCGCCATCGACGTTTGGGGTGTCGAGATCGCACGCTATCATCAGTGGCTTGGGGACCAAGGCTTCGGGCTGTTTGTCATGTCTGCGTTGCTAGCTGGCGGTTTCTCGGCGGTTCTGACGCAGTGCGTGTGTCCTCAAGCAGCAGGATCCGGTCTGCCGTTCATGAGAGTCGCTATCTCGGGCATCGATATGAGTGCCTACCTGTCCTTCCGCTGCGTAGCTACCAAGATTATTGGACTGATGGCTGCTTTGGGTGCAGGTCTGTCCATTGGCAAGGAGGGTCCATTCATCATGATTTCCTGTGGTTTTGCCAGTGTGCTGATGAACTGGCGTCCATTTCGCCGCATTCGCGACGACGACACAAAACGTCTTGAAATGCTAGCTTGTGCGTGTGCTGCTGGTGTGGCCGCCACCTTCGGCTCGCCGTTTGGAGGTGTACTTTTCGGCGTAGAGGTAACATCGCACTTCTATCTTGTCCGGACGTTGCCACGCTCTTTCTTCGCAGCTATCGTTGGCGCTTTGCTCGTCGATTTTGGTGCTGCAAATACACGCTACGGACTCTTTGGTAATCGCAGCATGGGTATATCTGCTGACACTGACGCTGTGAACGGAAGCGGTGGGGCCACTTTCGTCGAACTCTGCGTGTTTTCAATCTTGGGCGTCGTCTGCGGTCTTGGAGGCGCGTTCTTCAACTACAGTTTGTCGATTCTTGTACGAGCACGTGATCATTTCTTCGAGACTTCGCCATTTACTTCACCTCGTCGTGCGTGGTGGGACGCACTTGGCAAGCGACTGGGACTTGTGCTGGTTGTGACGATGCTTTCCTGTTGGCTGGAATTCTATGGAGATAGTGCGTGGTTTCTAAGACATGGCTCTCCTCGCCGCATTCTGGACGCGCTTTTCTCTAAGGACAAGCAAGTCTTCGTTGCTGACGGTACTCCAGATAGCACAGAAGAGGACAGCTTGCTGCTTTCGAGATCACTGGTAACGTTCTTACCGCTCAAGTACGTGCTGACACTCATTAGTATTGTGCTACCCGTGCCGGCCGGCTTGTTCACGCCCACGTTCGTCATCGGAGGCATCTTTGGTCGTCTTGTTGGCGAAGCTGTGCGTGCTTTCGGTCTTTGGCACACCCATTATGAACCCTTTGAGTTCGCTATCATCGGTGCTGGAGCATTCTCTTCGGGCGTGACCCACGCCGTCTCCACTGCTGTTATCATTATGGAGATCTCACACACAGATGGACTCAACTTGCCCGTGTCGGTGGCCATTTTGACCGCATACTTCACCGCCAAGCGATTTACTGAGAACGTGTACGACGTACTGATCGTAACAAGCCATCTACCTCGGCTGAAAAAGCTGCCGAAGGCTGCGTATGATATTCCAGCCTGGGAAGTGATGAAGGATGTCGCTGAAATGGGCATTCTAACTGCTGACTCGACGTATGAGGACGCATTGGCTCTGCTTAAACGTTCCGACATGGAGCCTGTATTCCCAATTGTAGACTCGTTAGAAAATCGCTTCTTGTTGGCCACAGTTACGCGCTCTCGACTGGCCTACGCCGTATCGCGCTGTCAACGCCAAGGCGCGACGTTCATTCCGCTCACTCCTGTCAGTCTGCTTCAACCTACCAACGCCGAGGCTGCAGCAACGGCTGCTACGTCGCTGCTTTTCCTCAGCACACCGCGGTCTACCACCCCGACTACAGTACAGACCACCGGCTTCGACTCCGTCCTCCGCGCCCCAACACCGGTAGTCCGCGCTTCGTATGGGGCGATGGACTCGACACCTCAAAATGACAGTGATGAGTCCGACGATGAGGAAGCCGAGGACGGGCTTGATGAGCTCCCTGTGCAGCAGCTGAGCGCGCCGATCCACTTTGCCTTCAAGCGTGGCGGCAAGGTGATGGACTGGGGCACGAACGAGGTGTGCGAGCATTCCAAGCTGACGGTGCTGATTGATCCGTCGCCGTTCCAACTGATGGAGATGACGCCGATGCGGCGTGTAGACATGCTCTTCCGCATGCTGAAGCTTAACAACGTGTTCGTGGCGCGCTCAGGCAAGCTGATGGGTGTCATTAGCCTCGAGCGCATGATGACGTTCCTCGGTACCACGACGCCCTACCAGGCACCAGGGCTGGTGCGGACGCTCAAGAACTTCTGCTCCAAGACTTGAGCAACCACTTCAACTTGTCAGGCGTCAACGATTGGCTATATTAGATGCAGACATCAGCCAATAGAAATATTTACCTCATTTATTCCAATCACAAATTTGAATAAAGAACTCCATTTTCATCCAATCTCAGTTTGTCAACCGTAAAGAGCTCCATTAACGCTTGACGCTTGCCTCCCGTCGTCGCCATGAACCTGAACCAGATGAAGAACGCGTCCAACCTGCACGCGGCCAACGCCACGAGCGTCGTGGGCAACTCTATGGCGATTCCGTCGCGTCTGGGTGCTGCCGCTGGAGCTGCCAATGGTGCTGGGGCCGCTGCAGCGCAGCCCACGGCCGTTTCCATGAACCAGTTGGGACAGATGAACCTCAGCCATGTACGAAGCGCCGCCTTCAAACCCGCGGTCCCTGTGGGCGGAGCCAGCGTAGTGCTTCCCAGTGCCGGTGCTGCTGCTGCTGTGCCCAACACTGCGGGCGCAGGTGCGCTGCAGCTGTCGGGCCGCTGGTCGCTCGACCGCGAGGACTCGGACTCGACCAATGACTACTTGGAGGCCATGGGACTGCCGCTCATCGCCCGCCAGGCCGCAGATAAGCTGGATCTCATGGTAATTATCAGCCAGACACCCGGAGACTTTATCATCACGCGCCGCACGCGTATCTTCACGGAGACCAAACAGCTCAAGTTCGGCCAGGAAGTCAACGTCAAGAACAATCTCATCACCGTCACGGGCGACGCGTCGCAGATCAAGACCGTCACGCAGCTCTCGGGCTTCCGCGGCGTGCTCACAGATATCCGTACGCTGGACCCGCGAGGCCGCATGCACGTGGAGCTGACGCTGACGCTCCCTGAAAAGCCGCCAGTTATCATCAACCGCTACTTCAAGAAGACCAGCGAGTCCACATCACTGGAGAACCTACCGGCGTTCGACATGAGTCTCGAGACCTCGGGCGATGTCAAGCGGAAGCGTTAATCTGGTACTAACGTTATGTTTTGTAGATTTGGGTATCCGCAGACTCCTGGCAGATCGAAGCGGGGGTAGAGGCATTTTATTGCGCAATTTACTGGACGTTCACATGGACTCTGCTTCCGAAACTTCATAAGTTGTGTATGTGTTGCACTATACTAACTAGATCCGATGAAGAACTCGCGGTGCACGTCGAAGGCTTTGAATCGCTTAGCTGCGTACTCGAAGAAGTCGAAATCGATCTTGGAATGAGCGGCCTGAACGAGGGCCCAGTAGCCCCAGAACAAGTGCGATGCTAGTGCGTAGCGGTTCACCACGTCGTACAACGCGTGGAAAAACGCCTTGGATTCACGATTAGCCTCCAGCTGAGCCAACGTCTTGGGTGCCGCTGTGCTCATATACGCCTTGAAGAACGCAAACTGCTTCTCAATACTCGGATACAGCGCCAGGTCCAGCTCGAAACCACAGTTCTCACAGAAATGATTGGCAAAGTCGAATCCACGGTAGTTGTAGCCACCGTACTCGTAGTCAATGATCTGGACGCGATCCCAGTCCGGGTTATGCAGGATGTTGCCGCTCAGCAGGTCGTTGTGGGAGAAAACGACGTCGGACGCGAACGCTACGGCCTGCTTCGTGATCTCGTCCGTGTCTAGATCATCCAGTAGGTCCTCACCATCGTGGTTGTGATTCGAGGGAAGCACCGACTTAAGCCACTGCAGTTTCTGATGCAGATCCGCGAGGTTTAGTTCCTCTAACGCGGCGTTCTTGACCGGATCCTCAAGCTCGATCTCCATCGCCAGCTTCTCGAAGCGCTCAATCTTGGTCCATAATACAGGCGTGCGGTCTTCTGGGATGTCCATAATGTGCATGATACCCAACTCGCGGCCGATCATCTGCAAGTAGTTAATGGGCTCAGTCTGGCCCATATCCTCCGGCTCGAGTGGCCTAGCGTCCAACCAGGCTTCGACGCGGCCGTTCTTGAAGCGACCGTAGTACGTGGGGGCAAATCCTCGCTCCGACAGCAACGCGAACAACACTATAACACCGGAACGGATTGAAAATTAGTCTAAACCGTGCAACCGGTGACGGAATCAGAGCAAACATAAGTCATACTGTTCTCAATGCTGCGGTCGATGAATTCCTCAGTGTGGTCGCCGTACAGACGCACAAGCACCGACTACAACAGATAACACAGCAGAAAAACGTCAATGATGAATGCATAAATACACAGACACAGACTAGCGCACCTTGTCCCCCCACATGAGACGATAGAGGCGGTTGGTGATGCCGCCCACGATGATCTTGACCGAGATGGCATCATTTACAGCGTCCCTCCTGCCACGTCAGACATGATTGCTCCGTTAATCTAGTTCTACAACACATGGCTACGATCCCACGTCGTCTCACCAGTCGGAGCAGATCTGTTTGACGACGTATTTGGCGTCGTCGAATTCATCGGCGCCCCCAGCGCCCACCGCGTAGTCCAGACACGCGTTCGGGTTGTTCAGATACACGACTAGTAAAACACCGTTAGTCAACAGCTGCACCTCTCCTTTTCTCCTCTGTTGCTGTCTTACTTGGTCCTGGCATGTTTTGATCTTCGTCAGACGCTTCGGAGCTGGAGCGATGTTGCTTATTCTTATTGCTGCTGCGGCGGGAAGATCGAAAGTGGCGGCTGTCGAGGAGCAGGAGGATGCTGGCGGCAGTGATCGTGCAGGTGGCGAGGGAGACGAGGGCAAGGGCGCGCCAGTTGAGGTTTGGACGCTCGGCTCCGGGCATTGAATGCAGCACGAAGCTTGGTAGTTGTATACTGAGCAAGGTGATGCGGCGGGCTTTTTGGTTCTTTCGGCTTTTCATGTTTTTGGCCAATCGTTAAGCACTATTCCACGTTTTCGGCACGCTGATTGGACGGTATGAATAGCACTTGAGACGGTATCATTCCTCCCATCTCCACTGACGCGCTGCGCATAGCTTGTGGTTGCATTTACGACTTCATGCCTGTACATGTTTAGGCTGCATGCAGCAGACTACTGTAGTAACAAGTTTCACTTGATGCACAAGAAGGGTCTCATTCGTGGATACGAGAGGACAGGGTTTCTCGTGGCGGATAGCGCTCACGATTGACAAGTCGATCTGCTGTTCCAGGCATGTTGCAGTACTTCATTGACGACTCGTTGGTTTTCTTCAAGCTCTGCAGCAGAGCTGCAGTCATTGGCATTTGTGTTGGCAGCTCGCCAACAATTTGTTGAGAAATCGGCGGTAAGCTTGGTAAGTGAGTCAGCACAGTAGTTGCGAACTGAAATCATACATGTTTGAGCGACGAGCAGGTCATGATTGGCCGTCATCGACATTTATTTCGCCAAAGCTCACATCAAGAGCCGGCTCCTTGCTATCTATTGAGGCTTCGGATTCGACTGACCGGCGATACCATTAGCGTGTTTTCCGTGTGTTCTTGCCTCTGCATTGTATCTTACCAGTTGTGAAACGCTATTGCAAGTCATAAAGCTAGACTGCTCATAGCTTTTGGCCCACCATAATAAAGATCAAAAAGTGGTCCGAGCGCACTTTTTCTTTACAAAGTACTTTTTATGCAAAAAATCGTTAACGGTGGCCTATCATAATACTCGAACGTACGTTTCTCCTATTTTAATTCCCTTCCAACCCCGATGATACCAACCTCTACAAATAAATCTCACTCTTTTTCAAAATATTTGGCGCGCTCGATTCCGCGCCAGGTTTCAACTCCGGTGCCGATCCCCATACAAACTCCCAGTGCAACCAGATCGAGATCATGGGCGACGATGTCGAAGCCAGGTCCGCTCCCGCCGCGCCGCCGTCCACGCGCGAGCTGGCATCTCAGCTGCGTGCGAGTCTCTCGGCGTTAAAGCGTGACGTAGCCACGTCCTTCCGGCTGTGCGGCCGCGACTTTGGCATTCTTGGTGCTGAGCTCGTCTCCGCTTTGGAAGGCGGCAGACAGCGAGAGCGTGCGTCAGCCGACGCCTTGGCCCATGAACGCACGGCCCGCGTTCACCTGGAGACGAGGCTGGCCGAGCTTCAGGGCAACATCCGCGTGTTGTGTCGCGTGCGGCCTATGCCAGCGACTGCCGCGGGCTCCAGCGGTGAGGAGAGCGAGAACACGAGCCCGGACAAGCGCCGCAAGCGCGTACAGGTCGAGTCAGCGCAAGAACTAAGCGTCTTCTCACCCGTGGACGGGGCATTGTACAAGAGCTTCTCATTCTCTAGAGTTTTCCACGAGCAGCACTCGCAGTTGACAGTCTTTAAGGAAGTGGCGCCACTCGTGCGCTCGGCCGTCGCTGGCCGTCACGCCTGCGTGTTCGCTTACGGCCAGACAGGTGCTGGTAAGACCCATACAATGCAAGGAACAGAGAGTGACATGGGACTCTACTACAGAGCGGCTGAGCTCATCTACTCGTCGATAACGCAACAGCAACACGTCTATGATTTCAAGGTGCGTATTCAGATCGTGGAGATCTACAACGAAGAGATCTACGATCTATTGGCCCAGAACAGCAGCAATTCTACTACAGGGACGACTTCAGGGGACAGAGGCTCACCAACGAGCGCCGGTATGGGCTGCCACGTCGGTGCCACCAGCATGTGTGGTAACCAGCAGAGCAGCTCATCGTCTACGCTGGAGATCCGACATGGAGAGAATGGAGTTTACTTGAAGAATGTGGAGACGATCGATGCGCCAAGTACCAAGGAATTCCACGACGCTATTACTCGCAGTAAGACTAAGAAGAACGACCGCAGCAACCGGGCGCACACCGTTTTGATGATTGATATTCTGCGTACCAGTAAGGCCAATGGAGAGACAGATACAGGCAGATTGGTTCTCGTGGACTTGGCAGGCTCGGAACGGCTGTCAAAGACGGCAGATACGTCTGCACTTACCGTACGGGAGTCGCAGCATATTAACAAGTCGCTCGCAGCTGTGGGCGACGTCTTGTCGGCGTTACTGGCGAAGGAGAAGCATATCCCGTTCCGCAACTCTAAGCTTACGCACTTACTGCAGGATTCGCTGAGTGGCAATGCCAACCGCACTCTATTGTTTGTTCACGTGAGTCCAAGAAGTACAGACGTGAACGAGACGATCAATTCTCTTAAGTTTGCGTCACGTGTGAGTCACATCCAGATGGGCAAGTCGCGTCGTACTGAACGCGCGGAGATTTTGAGACTGAACGGAGTGGTAAGGTTTTCTTCGTCATGCCTTAGTCTTCGCGCACTAACGTTAGAGCTGTGCTTGCAGGTTGCCAATCAGGTTTCTCAGATCCAGGCTTTGCAAGAAAAATTGACAGCGGAACTTGAACTGCGTAAGAAGTACGAGAGACGACTGGAAGAGTATCGACAGGAGGAACATCGTCGCAGATCCAAGGGCGAAGAGGCCAGAAAAGTTTTGCAGCAGATGAGGACCCCTTCACCTCCAGAGTTGCCTCCCCCAATCTCTTCGCGAAGGTGGAGTTTATTCGCTCGAAAGTAAGCCGATCGGCGTGCTGGAGCACTTGATCCTTGCCATTCATTCCCAAATGACTAACTCGTTGACTTATTGTAGGGAGAAATTGGCCAATGCCCAAGGGCTGAATGGAATTGAGAATGTCGCGGAAAACATTTTACGTGGCAACGAGTCTTCGCCCGAGACTGCAGAGATCAGGATATCGATCAACGGCAAACCGAGTGGGATCTCTCCTCCCACGAACTTTTCAAGGCGACTGAGTCTGTCGGCCTTAGACCAAAGAGCTGCAGCTCCAGGACTCAAGACAAAAGCAAGAGATCGTTCCCTTCCGACTCAAGGCAAAAGGAAGAGATCATCCACGTCCGAGAAAGTTCGCAGTATCCTCAAGAAGCAACGTGTCAATGATGGAGGCATTATCGACCTTACTGAGGCAGAAGCAGATGCTGACAACAGCACTATGGCGTCCAAGCAAGTTTCGTTCGATTTGTCACTAGAAACAATCGGGACTTCGACTGCGTCGCTGCCATCTCGAGAGCCCGCTGCGGCTACTACACCTCGGATGCAAGTATTGCGCACTCCTTCCTAGTTTCATATTGCCATGACTCATGTTTTTCATGCTGTTGTCTTGTGTAGCCCTGTTGGAGGAGCAGTACGCGTTCTGGCCTCGAGTCGATCTGTGGCGGCACCGCCAGTAGCGAGGAGAGTCGCGTCGGCCAAGCGCATCAAGCAGAGACCGATGGGTTGGCGGTGAAGACCAAGGAGCCAGAACGTGCGTACTTGCCACCCTAACAAACATTTCCATAGTAACGTTACGTATAATAATGACCAGCACAACTTGCTTTAGTTAGTTATCGTCGGAATGCCGCTTTTCTATGGTGCTTTGTGAGCGCTCTAGAATCGGACGTAATACCTTCAAAGGTGCTCCGTTACTTGCCTTCGTTTGTGGTCTCATGGAGTTCGATCGACGCAGCTTCAAGCGTTCAGCCTCGTCCGCAGCAACCACCTCATTACGCGCGCGTTGGAACATCTACGTCAACAATATGTTAGCTTTTACATCCGCATACAACATGCTTACAACAAATAACGAGCGTACCGAGCAGAAGGAGGCAAGTGTCGTGAAGAACTCCGTCGGGTTTCGCTTCGGATCTTCACCAAAGTAGTCCAATACACTCGAAACTTCTTCTCTTGCCCGAGCTATCCCATCGGCGAGTGTCTTCATTTGAGCTTCAATATCTGAAGCAGCATTCTGCATTGCCTTGACGGTCACCTCCAGTCCTAAGCTCTCGACTGCTTGCTGCTTAAACACAATAACTCGAGTTAGTATAGCAGCACAACATACCCTAATATGGCTACAAACCTTTTCCAGCAAACCCAGTTCTGTGTTGAGACTTGCCAGGCCCCTTTCCAGTTTCTTGAACTCTTCGTCGACCGTCTCGAAAGACTCACGCGCCGCAAGAGGAACGCTTCGCAGCTCCGCCTGGAAGTCAAGGACTTGCGGGTGGTTCTTCTTCACGAGTCGGACTAAATAGTGTAACACGGTCGTCTTCTGGTTGACAGCCTTGGTGTGGCCCAGCCGTAACAATGAGTCCACAGTGAAGCCCTTAATTCCATTCTCTTCACCACTTCCATTCAGCGTATTGCCCAACTTGAGCACCATAGCCAGCAGAATCTTTAATAGTCGACTACCCTTCACTTCTTCGCCTGCCTTTTGCAAATGAGCAACAGAAGCAGCGAGCTCGGTACTGCGCGAAGTGAAGGACATCTTGTATACCAAACATTCCATTCGTGGTGCATATCGCTTGACCTTCGCAATCTCAAAAATGAATTTCTCCGCCTGATTTTTTTGATACACGCAACAGCACAAGTTAGTACAATAACCTCAAACATAACAACTGAAGACGTACCTCGCCCAGCATCTTCCTATCTCCGGTATATCCAGAAACCACTGCTGCCTCCTCGGAAGTCGGCAGGAATTCGTTGATTCCGATGAGCTGCTCAATAGTCAGTCCGCTTGGGTCAAACTTCGTCACTGCATCAGCGATCTCGCTGTACGAGAGCTTGACTCGGGCCAGCGAAATAGCTGCATTCATCGCACGTTTCCCGTCAATTAGCGTCACCGCCTGTTTGCGTTTCAATGCTTTACTCTGTCCTCGTAACGAGTTCTTCTTTGCACTGTTGGTGTTCTGATTTGCGAAGAAGAGCGCTTCCAGCTCATCCATGTCCACATCGAAATCAACGTCGTCATCTTCGTCTTCCCAAATCGTCTGCTGGTTGAGATTACTCAGTCGGTCTTCGGAAATCGGTTGCCAGTGCAGCTTCTTGCGAGCGCGTTTGGGTTTCGGTACTGCAGCTTTTGCTGCATTAGCACCCCCGCTAGATGACAATTGCGAAACAGTAGCATCAGGCCCTAGGTCTAGCGCACGCACATCAATGTTCTCAGTCGTCATTTTGTGTCTTACAGCACCCTCAGGAAGCCCCATCTTCAGCATCTTGAAATATTTCGAGTACACGGGGTCATCCTGAAGCTTGACGTCATTCTTCGTAGTCAGCTCCGACACCAGCGCATCACCTCCCAGATCCAGAGCACGCTCGTCAAGACCTTCGGCCTTCATCTTTTGGCGCACAGCTCCTTCGGGCAAACCCACCTGCAGCATCTTAAGGAATTTGGCATACGTCGAATCATCTTTCAGCTTCACATCGTTCACTGGGGTGGCAGGTTCTGTTGTCTCTGGTTTTGGCAGTTTGGAGAAAGGTGCATCACCTCCTAGATCTAGAGCACGCTCATCAACACCGTCCACCTTCATTTTTTGACGAACTGCTCCCTCAGGCAGCCCCATCTTCAACATCTTGAAGTATTTGGCGTACACTTCATGATCTTTCAACAACACTTCTGCTATCACGTCTCCTGTTGCAGGTGGATTCACGCATTTGATATCATCTTGAAGCGTTGGCATGCTCTGTGTTGCAGCTATACTGTCCTTCACCTCTTCGTAAATCGCATCAGGGCCAAAGTCCAAAATGACCGGGTCAATCCCGTCCATGGTTAGCTTCTGCTTCACCGCTTCTTTCGGGCATCCCATCCGCAGCATTCGGAAGTATTTGGCGTACTCTTCCATGTCCTTTAGCCGTGTTTTCTGAGCGCCAGAAGGTTCATTCACGCTGTCATCACCTGTGCTGCCTTCGCTCGAAGCCAGCGGCTGCAATGTCGAGGGATCAACACCGTCCTTCCGCATGCAGTTTTGTACAGCCTCGAAAGGAACTCCTCGCTTCAGCATCAACGTGTACTTGTTGTCTCCACTGCTTGCTGCCGGCGTCTCGCTTACATCACTAGACTTACTGGCCGTCTTCAGCTCGCTAAATAATGCAGACTTCATATCCAGCTTGGGTGGACCAGACGGCATAACAGCAGAGGTTGGTGATGTCAGCGTGCTCGCTAAAGACACAGTCTCCGAAGCGCTCGTGGTAGCCGGACTCGTCGCTGCCTTCATAAGATCTTCAATCGATAACCCATTTGTCGCTAGAAACTCCTTCAGCTGATGGAACTCTTCCGAGCGAGGTTCATCTACAGAGACAAATAGATTGTCCCGAGTCGCGGTTGTATTCGATGAATCTCTTGTATTGCCCGCATCTGTAACATCTTGTGGGTTCGCTGATGTGATGCTCGGCTCTCCACCAACCCAGGAAGCAGGTACCAGCTTCATATTTGACGGAATCTCTCCACCAGGTAGAGTTGTTGTTGGGAGCGGAGCCTTTGGAGCGCAGGTGTCACATTCCCACGCACTGAAGAACTTCTTCACGTACACAGCATGGTTGGTGCGATCACTCATCGTCGTCAATCCAAATGGGATTTTTCGTAACCCCACACACGTCGTGTGGTAATACTTTCCGCATCGCCCAGCACAGCGGACGATCTGTGGGCGCATCATGTAGTCGTCTTCTTTGCAAGTATCGCACAACGACGAGTCCACCGCTGTAGGGATCGAATACCGTGAACGCTGGGACTGCATGACCACAATTTCCGCCGTCGTCTGCCGACGTAGTGCCGGTTGCTGGTCGCTCTCGGTAGGGGGATCCGCAGTCTGATTGCTATTAGTCGCTTCTTCTTCTTGTTCGGTTTTAGCTGCCAACTCCGCTGTTTCTTGAGCAAAACAAGCTGACAATCCCTTGGAATGCAGCAGGTCTAGCGCCACATTCGGAGCATTCTGAGAGCATTGCAGTGCGAACGTAGTCGGAGTCTCGCAGAAGCCCATGCGGATAAAATTCGAGTGCATTGCTGGGTCCGGTAACACGACGTGGTGCTTGGTAATCTCTATCAGGCCCTGTCGTACCGCATTGTTCCCTGTATAATCCATTTTTACCAAATTTCGGGACTTCTTAATGTTGTTCTCATGCAGCACCAGATCCACCGAGAACTGATCTTCATCGAATCCATGTTCGTACTGCTTCATCAGGTCCAGATCGTGTTTCTTAAGCGTCACCAGTCCAGGCACTAGAAACAGCGTCGAGTCTGCGTATCTGAATAAAACTCTCGAGGACGCGTCCACATCGTCTGCGTTGTCATAATCCTCTCCAAACGAACACAAGATCGAGAATCCCCCGTCCAACTCGATGCCATTCTCCCACAAAATAGCAAAGAATCCGTCCTCCTCGTTCCAGTCCAGTACTGGAGCTTCCCCGTTCTCTCCGATCTGAAGTTCATCAGTACAAAACACCAGCTTGTAGTCGTCCCAGATCTGTACACAGGGCTGCAGTTCCACCGGCAGTTGTCTAAAAATCACGGCCTTGAGCAGCAATGGCTTGGCATTGGGCGGTTTCTGCTGCGCTAGAAGCTCATGGAACCCAGTGAGAAACCTCTGAATAGACGGTGGCGTCTTCTTCTTCAACGCATGCGGCGTGAGTGACTTCATATCCCAACGTTTCCTATAAAATTCGACAAAGGCGTCGGTCGGGTCGTCTGCGAGCCTGGCGAACAGCAAATAGCAGGCAACCACGACGCCGCTGCGAGTCTTGCCAGTCTGGCAGTTAACGAGCGCTACATGCTGTGGATCCAGCGAGAGCCACGCGTCCAGAGCGTAGCAGATGCGAAAAATAAGATCTAAGGGTGGTGTATGCGCCTTCATACCATCGCGTTCCCAGTTGAACTCGAGTAGCTGCTCGTGCAATTTATCAGCCACAGACTGACGTCCATCGTCTGCTGCTGCATCTTCTAGCGCGTTGAGGTTGAACAGCATAAAGTGGCCGCGGTGTTGCGTGTCCAGGTACTGTGCCAAGTCGTCCACGTTCACCATGTTTCGCTTCTTGTCGGTGGGGCCGTCGCAGGGCGCGCCCACGACCATCAGTCGCTCAGTCATGAAGGTGAGCTCTAGAGAGCGAGCGTCTGGAGGCCGCACGTCCCCGAGACTGCCTCGACGCACAAGACCCGCGTCGAATACGGAGCTTGTAAGGCGCCGCAGAGACTCCATGAGTGCGGTATTGAGAATATGGGTGTAGCCATCTCGGCTCAGATTGTTACTTTTTTTCTTCCGACGTCCCGTTTATGTGTCATTACCACGAAACGACGCACTTCAACCACTGCAACTTTGCCGGCTATTGACGTTTTACTATGGAGGATCGTACGGCGGAAGCATGGAAGTGAGTGGAGGTATAATGGCAGCAATGATGAAGGAGTGATGGTCATTTGTATTGTTGCTGCTGGCAGGGCGTTCGGGGGCGACACGGAGGCAGGACGACTGCTGAAGAAGCTCTACTGCGGCACGAGCAAGCCAAAAATCTCATATCCGAGTTCGTGAGCTGATGGGGAGGGGAAATTGGTATGCTATTAACTTGGCGTTGCTGTTTGCTGCTGCAGAGCTTAAGATGAAGCCTCGAGAGGCGACGGCGCCGTTCATTCCTGGCGGTGGAGTGGCGGGTGCTTCGGATTCGAGGACACATCGACTGGTGGCGAACACTTCGAGTCGAGCGATCAAGGCGCCGGTGCCGTCCAAGCACAAGGGAGGATCCCCCGAGGTGTGTGAAGAGTAGAGATTTCGATTGGGGCGTGAGTGCTGACTGTTGTGGCCTTGGTAGATGCACCCGATCGACTACCTGTCGACGCACAAAAAGCCACTGAGTGAGATTGAGAAGGAGATGAATGAGATCAAGAGGCAGATGGAGGGGTCCCGTATGAGCTGCATCAGGTTGGTTGGTCCTGGTGTATTTACTGTGAAAGTTAAGTCTGATCAGTGCCTGTTGGTCGGCTAGACGCGCTCCGAATCAGGAGAAGGAAAAACTGCAGCAGGTTTTCTCGTATTCAACTGGGAGTATCTTACCCCGCGAGCTCTTGCCCGGATCTGGTGCGCCCTTGTACCTTCTATTACTTGAAATAACCATGCATTAATACTTGTGGTGCAGATCTCCTCGATCGAGAACTCTCTCATGCTGCTGCGCTGCGCAATGGAAAACTCCCTAAGAATCGTCTGACGCAGCTTGAGGGGCTCTACGACGCGGTGCTAAAAGAGGTGGAATCACGAAAGAGCTACATGTCCGAAATGATCGCAATGGGAAGACCAGAGAAGGCAGCTCCTGTCGAGCGCGAGATCTTGGAGCGAATGACTGAGCTACGCAAAATCCACAAACTCATCATCAAAGATAAGCGAAGCAACAATAACGATGACAACTAACTGGTTGCAAGGCTTCGTTGTAATGCCAGTAATGAGTGAATTATACATTTAGGGTAGCTATTGTGAGTCATATATGCAAAAAAAATCATTGCCTGCAGCTCCCGTAAAATCCAAAGTAGAGATTCTCTACGAGGTGGCGTCCTTATTGCGAGCAACAAGCTTTTTGTTTAAAGATAATACCATATTACTACAAAGTAATCAAAGTCTGATTACTGAAATTGCAAAAGTAATCAGGCTTTGATTATTTTTTACGTGTGGTGCACAAAAGCTACCCTGATGTATGAATATAACATGTAATAATATAATACAGTATAATAGAATTCATTCGTAAGAAGTAAATGCCACTTTGCACAAAAACGTCCGAGAATCCTCTTACTTTCGTTCGGAATATATTATCCCGAGAAGTTTTACAGGGCGATAACAACATCGACAAGCATCCAAGTTTTTATCTTCACGCAACGAGAACAAGAACTTTGAAATGAATTGTCAAGTACCCACCGTCACAGAACTGCATTACAAAGACGGAACCTCAGAGTCCAATGGGTGTTACATATTTCCACAGAAAGACACAAGACATCGTCTCGCGTCTTCACGCATATAAGTTTTCTAAAGAAAATAATAGTTAAAACAAAATAGAAGTCCACCTATCATCATCATCATCGATTATCAGTAAAATCCAGCGTTGCTAGATGCATGCATTGGATGCATTCCTCTAAAAAAACGATCAAATAGAGATGGATTCAAAACATGTTATACTAGCATTTCTTGCTCGTCTTCAGGCGCTTTCTCCACCAGATTCTGGGCTTATGCATCAGTCTAAGTACAATTTTCGGTGTCATGATGAAGCTGCTCAGGGTCTACATGAATAGCTATTCTACACGTGGGTATGAGTGCTATAATCGTAATAAACTATTCTTTAGATGCATTTTTTGTTGGATGCGATACTGTACAGTAAGATAACATCTTACAAACTGCGTGCATCCAACAACGCTAAAAAGGATACTTAAAAAAAACTATTTTGGATCCAATTACTGGATTTTACTAATGATTTTCACCCAAAATACTACTAACGATTTTACTAAACTAACCAAAACGGTTTTTTTGTTTTAAGCATCCTTTTTCGCGCTGTTGGATGCACGCAGTTTTCAATTATATTGATGCATGCTAGTCTATCTAATCTCTGATCGACGTGGAAGCAACGATTGAAAAATAATAAATAAAAAAAGCTTAATAAAGTACTCTTATTATTATGAAAGCTATTTTGGGTACAATGACTGGATTTCACTGATAATCGAAGGTTTCGCTATGATTACTTTGCTATCTTTAGTCCATACTCATGTAGTTTGATAAAGCACAGTTCCATTCACGGACTTGCCCTGTACTCGACAACCCAATGCACCGCACGGCCCCCGTCGACGCTTCATCGCCCAAGTCAAGGTCCTTCGCGAGTGGCAAGTTTCGCAAACTTCACCGTGCGATCCTCGCGCTTCAGAGACCTGATGGTCACATTCAACTGGAATTTCCGGCAGAAGATGCCATCGATCTTCAGACACCCCGGATCAATACTCCTGAAGCGGAAAGCGGATCGTCCAATTCCTCAAACCACGAAAGAAACGTAACCTCCAAGAAACCGAAAGCCGAATGTGTCGATTCCCTGTTGGTCTCGGTTCCTCCTTTGATGAATATTTGCATCCTCATTGTGGGCACACGAGGTGATGTTCAACCGTTCCTGGCCATCGCTCAGCGACTACAAAGAGACGGTCACCGCGTGCGTTTGGCTACCCATGCAGTGTACAGAGACTTCGTTATGAGCCACGGTGTGGAGTTCTACCCGCTGGGGGGAGACCCGAAAGAACTAGCTGCTTACATGGTCAAGACCGGTGGCCATCTCATTCCAACCAAAATCGAGACGCTAACGAAAGATGTCCCGAGAAACAGAGAGATGATCAATGAAATTGTTCTCTCCACGTGGCCTGCGGTATCCGATGCAGACCCTGACGGCGGAGGTCCTGGTGTTCCAGGGCCCCCATTTCGAGCCCAAGCCATCATTGCTAACCCTGTTTCGTATGGACATATCCACGTGGCTGAGCGTCTCGGGGTCCCGCTCCACATCATGTTCCCACAACCGTGGGTACCCACCATGGCGTTTCCACATCCACTATCGAATCTGGCGTACACTGGTAAATGGCAGAAGAGGAACTATCTCTCCTACAAACTGGTGGATCTCATCATGTGGCACGGTACAGAAGGAATAATCAATGAATTCCGAACCGAAGTATTGAAGCTGCGTCCTATTCGCAATGGTGACCTTGGCTCCGAGTTGCTCTTGGATCTGAATATCCCCCACGCTTTCATGTGGAGTCCTAAACTCGTACCAAAACCTGCAGATTGGGGGAATCTGTACGATGTCATTGGCACTGTTACGTTGAAAGAAGCCGCGTCCGTCTACTCTCCGTCACCAGAGCTTGAGGCATTTCTGGGTAGTGACGGAGGTCCTATCTTCGTCGGCTTCGGGTCCATGATACTAGCAAACCCTCTAGCTACGACGAAAATGATCATCGAAGCAGCGAAACAGGCCAACGTTCGTGTCCTGATCCAGTCAAGTTGGAGTAATATGGCTGGCGACATTGAAATCCCCAGCAACGTCTTCTTCATCGGCAACTGCCCTCACGACTGGCTCATGCCCAGAGTGTCCGCCGTTGTTCATCATGGCGGTGCCGGCACTACCGCTGCAGGGTTACTAGCTGGTAAACCGACCTTCATTGTGCCATTTTTCGGTGACCAACCTTTTTGGGGTCAAGCTGTAGTAAATGCTCAAGTGGGTGTACCTCCCTGCCCGATAACTCAACTTACAACCGAAATATTACGCAAGGCCTTCGTGGATCTAGCAAACCCAGAGCTGCGTGAACGAGCGGAAGCGATGCAGCGTATTATGCAACAAGAAGACGGCGCTGAAGAGGCCGTACGTAGCTTTTACCGTCATCTCCCGACTCAAGATATGTGGTGTGACTTGGACCACCAACGTATTGCATCCCAGTGGAGTGTCCACGACAGGATCAAGCTCTGTGATCGCTGTGCGCTTGTAGTAAGAGAGCGTCAAGGTAAAAAGCACCAAAGATTGTTACGATACAATGCTGTCGACTACTCTGCTCGAGGTCCAAGCTCATTGCTGACTGGAGTAGCTACGGGAGTCATCGTCTTCGCACACGAGCTGACTGGGGCATTCACTGGAGTATTAGTACAACCAGCGAAAGGCTTGATTAAGGGAGGAATCGTAGGCGGAATCAAAGGAACAGCGGCTGGAGTGTATTATTTGCTAGTGCGACCAGTACACGGGGCTCTGCTGCTGGCAGACCATGCAGCTACAGGGCAAAAGAACGCGAATCGAGAAGAAGGGCATCGCAAATTGAACAGTGTGTTCGACCGACATTTGATGGCGGCACTTGGAGCAGAAGACGGACTTGTTGACACGTTCTGCTTGGCAGTTGGGCCCAATGCTGTTGACATCGTGATTTTTGCGCGACAAAAAGACCGCGAGAAGATGCTGAAGCAACTACGAAATGCCGTAAAGAAGCGCTACCGCGCGCGTTATGAGTCCCTATTGAAAGCAGAAAGGGCCCAACAACTTGCGTTGCACAAGGAAGGCATCTTGTTTTCTGCTCGTGTGGAGCCTCAGAGTCGGTACGACCAGCCATTACAAGAATTTCCTAGCAACGACGTAACTCTTCTCGATGCAGACGTTATCACTAGCGTTGAATGCGTTGATATGGTCAAAATCAAAGCGTCTACCATCGAACTGAAGACTTCTACGCTTACACCGACCGGAGTTGTGGAAATATCGCTGGACGTGTCTGAATCAGCCGATGTAGTGGAACCGTCGACTATTGCTGAATGGGAAGCGTATTCAAGTGTAAACAAAGCACCGGGTACAGAGCAATCAATCCCAGTTATGAATGTGTGTCTCGCGGCTATCGGCACGTGGAACAATGGCGTGAAGCAGTTTGTGGCCATTGGGATCAAGCTCAAGGAACAGGGACATCGCGTGCGTGTTGCAGCTAACGAACGCTTTCGCACTGAGATCATGTTGCGCGGTTTGGAGTTTTATCCACTTGCTGGGGCACCCGAAAGTGTTCAGGATTTTGCCAAGTTTGTGTACGAAAGTCAAAACGCAGCGCGGGCGGCAGTTCCTGGTCGTCTCGGTACAGGCGCCATTCAAGCCTTCAAGGAGCTTATTTACTCGCTGTGGCCAGCAGCGTATGGATCGGACCCTCATGGCGGCGGTGCAAACATTCCTGGAGTTCATTTTCGCGCAGATTCACTCTTTTGGCATCCGCTGCTGCTTGGTCACGTTCACGTAGCAGAACGACTCGGGATTCCACTTCAATGCGCGAGTTTGGATCCTCTCTCCCCGACATACTCTTTTCCTCATCCTCTGAGCTCCATCAACGGCCTTGAACCGGCAATCATGACCTTGAGTCAGAGCAACTTGCTGACGTATGGCGTTGTTGACACCACACTCTGGCACGGCGGTGTACAAGAAGTGTTGACCCAGTTTCGCGCCTTCATTGGTCTCAACAAACGTTGCGATCTACCTGATCCTCTGGTTCGATGGGATATTCCCCACATTTACCTTTGGAATCCTGCGTTGCTACCGAAGCCACTGGACTGGGGAGCGGATGTATCAGTTATTGGTCATGTGACGCTAGGAAATACCGACGGTCTTAACCGGAAACTACGTAAGAAGCGCGACAAAGAAAACAAAAAATTCAAGTGGCCCGAAGAACTCGCAAAATTCGCGTTCCAGACGTCAACACCGTCAATTATCTACTTTGGAGTCTCCACGCGGTTGATGACAACCGATGATCTAGATGAATTACTAACGAAGATTGATACTGCTGCCACTACACTGGATTCCCAAGTCCGCATCATCTTCCAGACTCGCGAGGTAGGCGATAAAAAGCGAGCATCCTACCAGTCTGTCAACGTCCTCCAGATTCCCAGCGACCTCCATTATGCTCGCATTTTTCAAGAACAAAACGTGGTTGCAGCGATCCACTGGGGTGAGCCAGACATCACTGCTGAAGCTCTCTCGACTGGCAAACCCGTGGGTATCTGCGGTACTCACTCATTGCAATACTTCATGGCGTGCGTGTGTGAACAGGCCCAGGTCGGTCTGCCACTAATCGACTGGAAAACGTGCACGGCGGAGTCTCTAGAGTCGAATTTCAGGGATCTCCTTCAACCGGATACTCGAGAGAAGGCGCAGAGATTATCCACCACATTCGATAGAGAGAAACCAGTTAAGGCCGCGGTTGAGGCCTTTTACGCCAATCTGCCGATAGCAGCCATGCAGTGTGATGTGGAACCGAACAAGATCGCACGGGTGTTTGATCCGCGGCACAAACTCAAATTGTCACTCCAAGCCTACGTGGCTGTGCAACCTCGACGGGACGAGAGCAAAGGCTTCGAACCGTACAAGCCTCTTCGATACGGTGGACACCAACCTCCGACATTTTCCATCCGTGATAGTTCACAAGAATCACGAATTGTTAAACCAGTTCGTAAGTACGATGTGGTGCGTTTAACGCTGGATATGCTGGAGAACCCGACAAACGATCAAAGTTACGCGTCAAGTAACACGTCAACGGTGTCGAGTCCATCCAGTTCTCGTGTCACTTCGACGCAGATTGCATTGTTCTGGTCTTCGGCTGAAGAGGAGGCAGCAGTGCGTAAAGCCACGATCGCAGCCTACGATCGCCTCGTCAAGATGCTGAAGAACACGAGTAAACGTGAAGCGATGATGCGATTCTTTGGAGTGGGTAACGAGGCGAGACGACGTCAAGAAGAACTGCTGTACATGTCGGTGGAGTAGATAGTAGTAATGAACTAAATCAACATTAAACAATGTAAGCAACTTAGGGAGATCCATGACTGCCACGCTCCGCCAACAGCTGCTCATACTTGGCATTGATCTCCTTCATACACTTCGTCTGTTCTTCCGGTGAGCTCCAAAACTTCGGCATCTCCACCACATCTAGAGCCATCGACTGGCCGCGCACCAGGGAGCCACGTCTCTTTTGAGGTGAAGAACTCTTCATTATTTCTTCGCTGGCAGGATCATGTGTATACACGACTTTGGTTGGAGAGCCGTTAACTGGAGACGAACGAAGACGCTCCGTGTCGAGCTGCCGTAACGAAAACTTGGGCGGGTGATGTCTTGAATACTTAAGTGGTTTATACTTCAAGTCGCTCGCACTGCCCCCGTCACGTGTGATCTGGTGCACCACCAGTCTCGCCTCATACGACAACTTGAGTTCATGAACTAAGTCGTAGACGCGAGCAATGCGTGTTGGGTCCAAGTCACAAGTCATACCAGCTAACGGCAAGTTGCTATAGAAAGCCGACACGGCAGCCTCAAGAGCATCCGATGGCGAACACGAAGAAGCAAGACGTTGAGCACAATCTGCAAGCTTGGGATCGAGTAAGGCCTTGAAGATACGAACGAGGTCGGAAGGTGTCAGCGAGTCGATCTCCAATGGCTGTACACCCACACCTGATAGTGCCAAGGCCTGACCCCACAAACGCTGCGTACTAGTGCGATAGACCACACATGCGGGCTTAGCTGCTGCTAAACACGCAGACGTAGTGGATAAATCTCCCCAATGCACAGCAGCCTTCACATACGGAAGAATGCGCTTCACAGGAACATTGTGGTCAATCTCGAGCACAGAATCGATGCTAATCTCTCCGCGAACGTTGCTGTTATTGCGTTGCTGGAGAATAATACGCACGCTCGCAGTCCGAGCAGCATTCTTGAGCCACCTGACAAGTTCTTGACCACGAGGCGAAGCCCAGTGATCGCACTGTAGACCGAAGTAAATGGTTGGCGCATTCGAGTTTTTAGTAACAAACAACTGCAGCTTTTGTTCAAAGTCAGCGTCCTTGTTGTCTTCCACTGTGTTAATACATCCCGTAACAGTGATCTCGTTTCTCCAGTCTTGAGGTTTCGGCAACAACGCAGAGTTCCACAAGTACGTGTGAGGAACTCGCCATTCACTCAGCAAGTTGTTGGTCGTGGCCTTTCCAATAAGCCTCAGAGAATACCGGAACTCGTCCAAGATCTCTCCCATACCCCCCCATATCAGTTTGTCAATGACATCGAACGAAGCTGCATTGGTCGGTGTGTAGCGGTACGGTCGCTGTAAATCCGTGTTGGAGCTCAAGAGATGAGGAAGTGCTTGTGTCCGTGTTGACGGAGTATCGCTCATACAGTGCAGAGGCACCCCTAGACGCTCCGCTACGATGGTCTGTCCAAACAAATTTGGGTGTGCAATTATCGCGTCGGCACGGAAGGCTTTGCCTGGGGTTACAGAGTCTGCCTCCACACACGCTGGCCAGAGCGAAAACACGAGTTCGCGTAGGTCATTCATCTCTGAGAACGAGTCTTGTGAGCGAATGAAACTCATCAGTCGTGATCTGTGTCGTGCCTTTTCCTTCGCTTGTTGGTGGATGTACTCGAGGAAGTTGGTGATCGTTGCTGTGCTACCACCAAGAGGATAGAAGAGAAGTCCAGCGTTAAGCACGCGGTCACGGTGAACCGCATTGGTCGCGAGGCGTACACAGTGGCCGGCCGCTTTGAGTCGCTGGCCGATTGCAACATACTGTCCGACGCTTTCTTCCCAAGTCCCGGTCGTCATCATACAAATATTCATCGTCGGCAGTGACCCGTTATGAGGTGTACCCGATGCACTACGCTGAGCCGCCGTCACACCATTGCGCTCCTCCATAAGCGCGTGGAATCTGCTCTCCAGCCGCTTCTTTTCTTCAGTCGTCAGTTGAATTGCAATCTGCCGAGATTGCGGGCTAGTTCCCTCCACCATTTCATCCACACTCATCGAACCAATGTGAACATTGCGAGACTTGAAGCCTAGAGCAGTCAGAAACTTATTGTTCCCCTTGATGATCGAGCCTCTTTTCTTCTCATTCTCCTCACGGCTGTTGTTGTACACACCCGTTGCAACGTGGTCAGCGAACACCATCGTCCCTACCAAAGGACTGATTATGAGTCCACCCAGGCCCTTCATAAGCCCCACCACAGCGCCCTTCGCACCCTCCTCACGATACCTTTGCGCAGGCTTGACAAACACATCCTTAATACCTGATCCGATAGCGTGAGCCATCGCACAAACTCCAGAAGACGCGCCTTCAAACACACTATCGGGGCCTCGAGCGGAATAGTCAACGTAGGTGTACTCCACGATATCCTTGGGCGAGTTCTCTGGACGGGACGTCACTACGAACTCGCACTCATTACACAGACGGAGTTTGTCTTTCTGACTCCACAGCGTCGCAGCTCGACCACAATTTAGGTCGCAGCGCATGGGATGCACAGGTAAATTGCGGTAGAAGCAGCTCACAGCCTCACCAGCACCATCTTCTTGCCGCATAAGGTCGCTTAATTCAACTGCACGCTTGCGGAGCTCTGGACTTTTCAACTTCTCGAAGGCAGAGCGAAGCTTCTCGGTTGCCAGCTCTTTGATCGGACAAGGCTCCACTCCGACACCAGCGTCTAGAACGGCACGACCCCAGAACGGTTGGTCTCCGAAAAACGGTACGATAAACGTGGGGTTGCCTGCAAGCAGACCCGCCGCTGTGGTGCCTGCCCCGCCATGATGCACCACAGCTGATACACGCGGCATGAGCCAGTCATGAGGGCAGCTACCGAGGAAGAAGATGTTGTCGGAAACGTCAATATCTCCGGCCATGTCGCTCCAATTGGACTGGATTAACACCCGCACTTGTGCTTGTTCTGCTGCCTCAATGATCATCTTAGTGACACCTTTCGGGTCCTGAAGCACCATGGACCCAAAACCAACGAAAATGGGACCATTGCCATATCCCAGGAAAGCCTCCAGCTCCGGCGTAGGCGTGTAGCTTGACCCGGGTCCTTCGAGCGTTACCGTACCGATGACGTCGTAGATTTTGCCCCAATCCTTCGGCTTCGGTACCAGGTGTGGACTCCACATGAACGCGTGGGGAATGGCGAGGTCCAGTAGAATATCTCGACCGCCGTCTCCTTTGCGGATCTTGCGCAGACCCAGCACGTCGGTGCGGAATGCGTTCACCATTCCTTCAGTTCCTTGCCACATGAGCAGATCCACCAACTTGTACGTCATATAGTTCACCTTCTTGGGTTTACCAGTGTACGGCATGTTGGACAGTGGGTGCGGGAACGCCGTCGTGGGCACCCATGGCTGTGGAAACATGATGTGCAATGGCACCCCAAGTCGCTCGGCGACGTGGATGTGGCCGTACGATACCGGGTTGGCAATGATGGCTTGCGCCTGGAACGGCTTACCCGGTACGCCTGGGCCGCCCCCGTCCGGGTCGGGGGCAGAGACAGCAGGCCATGTTGACTGGATGATCTCTTCAATCATCTGCATGTTTCGTGGCACGTCCTTCTGGATCGCCTCGAGACTGAGCGGGATCAAGTGACCACCGGTCTTGACCATATAAGCTGCAAGTTCCTTGGGGTCTCCTCCAAGCGGGTAGAACTCGACACCGTGGCTCATAACGAAGTCACGATAGACGGTGTGGGTAGCGAGACGAACGCGGTGGCCGTCCTGGATAAGTCTCTTGGCGATAGCGACGAAGGGCTGCACGTCTCCGTGGGTGCCGACGATCATGATGCAGATGGCCAATGATGGCACGTCCAGGTTGGTTCTAGTGCTGCTTGGTCGTGTAGCCTGGAGCGAATCGGCTTGAATCTTCTGAGCCTCCTGTTGCAGACCCGATATGTCGTACTTGTCATCGTTGCCATCGAAGTGCATGTGGATATGGCCATTGCGATCGAAAGCCGCTGCTGCTTGGACCACATCTGCGAAGGACGTGAGTCTGCCTTCTCCGACCGATTGACGTCTCTCCTCTGCGACCGTCTGCACAGCACGTGTGAATGCCTCCTTCCACCTCTAACAAAACAGCAAAAACGAGATGGATGTCAGAATAATGCAGCTTGAAGACCAATACTTTGAGAACCACTACCTTCTGTGACTGCTCTTGCTGCGTCGTGCCCATGTAGTCGTTCATGTCTTCGTGTTCTTTGCTTCTGGTTGCAGAATGAAAAGTGTCATTGTGCTGCCTCAAGCGATTGGTTGAGCGACATGTTGAATCGACATTGGCGGTGCAGGTGATGGTTGGTGGGGCGAAATAAAACGTAGGTACATTGCTCAGCGCAATCAAGAGGTCCCAGCAGATTGTCAGTCCACCCCGGCACACATGAGCAAATCTACTCAGCGATTGCGTGACCAAGCGTTTGTGCAGCTGATGACCACAAGGATTTCGTACTAATCATGCTTCAGCAACCGTAGTCTTCCTCAGAGAGATTGAACAACTTAAAAAAAAAAACTCTCAGAATTTTTCGCACTCCATTATGGTGGTGTAGGTTTTGCTGTTAGATATCACCGGCCTGGCAGTGATGATAATCGGACTTCCAACATTTTCCTTACGGATATGGGGTATCACTGGCTGAGCAGGAGCGAGTCGCTCCTGCTCTCCTGATCTGGATGCTGCGACGCCACCTGTCCAGGTCCGTCGCGTCGTCTTCACTGTCGCCTCATTACCATTCTCGTACGCGCTGCAGTCGACTGGTCCGGTTCATATCGGGGAGTGACTGCACCTCTGGCAGAGTGATCAAATAGAAATCTTTGGGGGGTCCATTTATCCCACCCATTTCCAACCAACAAATAAACCCTCCTGGAAATCATCGGGTTTTTCGCTAACTGTCGATCACCGAAATGGCTATATTTGATGTTCACCACCCCAATTTCGTACTTAAGAAATCCTACGCTGCTTCGTGGCAACATTCAGACCGACCTTCAAGCACCATGACGAGCAAGTCGTCGTCGTGGGTGTCGAAGCTCAAGGGGCTGGATGCGTACCCGAAGACGATCGAGGAGTTCAAGGTGCGCACACTCCAGGGAGGTCTCTTCTCGCTGCTGGCCTTCGCGTGCATCGCGCTGCTGCTGGTGTCTGAGCTGAGCTTTTACCTCACGACGGACACAGTGGACAAGATGATGGTGGACGGCGGCCGCAATACGCTCGTATCCATCAATTTCGACCTCGAGTTCCCGCGTATGCCTTGCTCCGTCGTGGCTGTGGAGTCTGCAGACATGGCTGGCAACGCCCAGCACGATATTGTACACAACATCGAGAAGATCCCGCTGGATCACAACGGCCAGGCGCTGGCTGAGGGCATGCGGGACGTGATTGGTGGCGCATTGACCAATAACACGGACCTGCATGGAGAGACTGAGAAGTAAGAGAGAAGGTAGCTTCTGTAGTAGCAGAATAAAGGAGACTGACGCGTTTTTGCTGAGGATAGACCGGCATGTGGGAGCTGTTACTCGGCTGGAGAACCAGGAGAATGCTGTAATACCTGCGAGTCCGTCAAGGCTGCATACGCCCGCAAGAGCTGGATGATGCCGAGTCTACACACGATCGCGCAGTGTCAAGAGCTGGAGGTCGAGAAGGTTCTGCGCGGAGAAGTGAACGAAGGATGCCGCATCAAGGGCTCGCTCGTCGTCTCCAAGGTGATGAATGGATTAGCGGTGCAGCTTGTTAATGACAAGAGACGCTGACAGCTGATGAATGTGTTAGGTTGCCGGTCGACTTTACTTCGCTCCGTCCAAGTTTTTCCGCTCGGGATACTTGTCGGCTCAAGACCTGGTGGACGCCACCTTCAAGGTATTTGACACTTCCCACACTATCCGCTCGCTGTCGTTCGGCGAGTTGTACCCGGTAAGATTCGCAATTATTGCGCGTGCCAAATAGAGACCTCACTAACCTTTACTAACCTTGTACTCGATCGAACCTCCGCACCAACAAACAGGACATGAAAAACCCACTGGACAACCGCCTGAAGGAGCTCCCTGACGAGTCTACTCGTGGCTCATTCCAGTATTTCCTCAAGGTACGTTCTTGGCGGTGATCTTGTAGTTGAGATAGATTAGTATAAACTCTGCTACTCAACACGCTCGCTTTCAGGTGGTGCCGACGGAGTACACGTTCCTGTCTGCTAGCCGAATCATCACGAACCAGTTCTCCGCTACGGAGCACTTCCGTCAGCTGACTCCTGTGAGCGACAAGGGCCTCCCCAGTACGTCTTTTGCGATTTGACTCGTGATTTCTTCTGGTTGACATTGAAGACTGACATCTGATCGTGCTATAAATCCGCAGTGGTCTCTTTCGGCTACACTTTCTCGCCCATTATGTTCCGCATCGAACAGTACCGTGTCGGCTTCCTCCAGTTCCTCACGAGCGTCTGCGCTATTGTGGGCGGTGTTTTTACGGTGCGTAGCCGCCACACTTTGGCCATTTGAACCAGCTACTTACGTGGTCTTATACGTGTGTGGTTACTGCAGATTCTTGGCATCATGGACTCGCTCGCATTTGGACTACTGAACAAGACGAGCAGCACGACTCTGTTGTAACTGGTTTCTAGCTAATCTCAATATGGACGTGGGCTTTCTTACCTCATTATTTATGGATAGCGCTTTCCCCAACCTGATGACTATTGCTTGTTGCGATGCATGGAATGCCACCACTTACTCTGGAGCTATGAAACTTATCTATTGGGATCTTGCTATGTGGGCTAATGGGGTAGATAATACGACTCGTAAGCCTGGCAGTTGTGTATCTTGAAGTCCGATTCGCTGTTCGGCAGAATGCTGTATGTCTGGACCTGCTCCTCAAGACTATTAGGACGATTCCCTTGTTGCTCACCCGTCTGGATGCTGTTGAATTAGGTTATCCACTTGGAGAAGCTGCGGTCAAGGTAATCTAGCGTGAGGCTCTCATCTTGGAACGAAGTCTTGAGCACGCAGCTTCAGATCGCCTCAACGACAATGAAGCGCGTACGGATCCCATTCGAGATCGTCGCGTCAACCGTGAAGGTCGTCGAGGTATCAGGGGGATAGAAGGTGAGTTTATCTGTTTAGGTCCAGTTGGAAACAAATGCGCTGTACAAGTGTTTTGAAACGTGAAGGCCACAGGCTCTGGAAATGGACCGAAACAATGTTACAAACCCACGAGTAAACTGGCCGTCAAAGCGACGAATGTTAGTCAATACTGGATCGACACGAGCCGCTCGAATCGCAATCCACGCTTTGCGCTCGCTACCAGGAAAGTTTTAGGACAGGGGGGACCTTGTGAAGACACCTCACCAACAGCTAGACGACGGCGATAATGGGATTATATCCAGTTCACTGACAACGGGTCTAGACCTCTTTGGAAAAGCTCCTTCCATGCCTGCTCAATGGTGGAAAGGTACAGGTTGCTTGTCTCCTAAAATTAGTCCGTTAGCTCATATGATTGCTCTGCTTTCAGGAGAGAAGATGGCGGCGTCCATGAATACGTGGCATCAATACTAGAAGATCTGCTCAGCGGCGCAGACCCAGAAAAATCGATTCAGTCGTCTGTCGTAGCAACCGGCTGCAAGCAGGAAGGCACAGTAATACCACCGGTTGTTGCAAGCATTAACGACTCCCGATACGCCTGCGTGATCGTCATCGGCTCGACTGACTTCTTCAACGTATCAAAGCCCAAATTTGTGAGCTTAGGAGGCCGTGATCGAATCGTCCGCATGACGACGAGGTCTGTCAGTGCGTGACGATCGACTTCCGTCCGACGCCATTGAAGTTGGGTCGCGTTCCAGTGACCGTCAAGAAGCTCACTCAATGTTTTCAGTTCTCAGGTGCTAAACGTCTATAGTGATCAGATCCTTCATCTACAGTAGAATTAGTTTAATGAGCTTGCTGCCAACAGCAGGAAATCTTCGGTCGAGAAAGCAGCTTCAGTAGCGAATGCGTCATCTGCCTGGAGCGTCCTCAGGGCGCTATCCTACTCCCGTGCCGCCACGTCTGTGTTTGCCATGTATGCCTCGAGGAGATCGACCAATGTCCGATCTATTGCGCCAAGTTCACCACTTATTCTCTGGATATTTATATCCAGAGTCTTAGTGGCTTCGGAAACCCTCGGATATCCTGTATCATAT